GTAAAAAAAAATCATAAAACTACTAAATAGTCAAATAATACCCAAATTTAGTAAAAATACTGATATTGGTTCAAATTATCAGCCGACTATTCCCAAAGCCAAAATTTAGAAACTACTTTCCTTATATTTAACACAATTTTCAATTACGAACTAAAAGCTCCTAAAAATTCATTACAGCAATGAAGAAATTCTCCCCAATTGATAATTAACAGCATGTGACTGTTACAGAAATCAATGTTAATTTTTTCGACCACTTTTCTCTTAAAATATTAAATAAATTAAGCTAGTTTTTTGTGAATAACTCTAAAATATAATAAAGAAGAGCAGTGATGTGCAAAAGTTTTAATAATTCTAAAATAAATTATAAAAAAATACTTTGAAATCGGAAAAGACGAGAAATTGATTAAAAGTGATTTTGAGAACTGATAATTTTAAAGTTATTTTTTAATAAATAATTTTAAAAATATTAAAACTTTTTCACATCACTGCCCTTCTTTATGATATTTTAGAGTTATTCACAAAAAACTAGCTTAATTTATTTAATATTTTAAGAGAAAAGTGGTCGAAAAAATTAACATTGAATTCTGTAACAATCACATGCTGTTAAAATACTCAATTTTTCTTTTTTTTAAAAAAAGAAACATTTTCCCAAAACATAAACTTTGAAGATACCGAGTAAAGTTTCCGCTTGGAATAATTATTCAAATAAAGCAATGAATATCCTTCCATATATATAGAAGGAAATTAAATACCAACACTTGCACATAGAGAAAATGAATACACATATATATATAACATGTGGCATTTTGACTATCTCCAGAAATATAATTGACTATCTGTAATTAAACATATTCTACAAAGGGTTAATTTAACCCTCCAAATATGTCGCTCCAGGTGTATCGTGGATTAATTTCTCTGAGAGTATTGCCAACGCGAATCTCTCGAAAAGCCATAATAGAAGGAGTTTACACCGTAAGCCTTAAATATAAGCCTCTGCGCGCATAAACGGATATACCTCCAGGAGCATATATTTGCGCCTGCGCGAACACGTGGTCAAGGCAAACTCTTTCACAACACAGCTGCAGGCAAACACTTTGCGCAGACGCGAGTATATGCTCATGGAGGCATATCCGTTTATGCTCGCGGAGGCTTATATTTTAGGCTTAACGGTGTAAACTCCTTCTTAGTCGACCCAAAGTACACTGACCAAAACATTTGACCACATCGCGTGACACATTACGCTATATAGTTACAAAATGTATACATGTGTATAAATGTGAATGTGTGTATGTGCCGTAAAATATTGAGAGCAGTTAGGTGATTCTAAACACGATCAATGCATGGAATATAACATGCATGGTCTGCTATTTTAGCAATTTATTATTAATTTTCTCACTAGGAAAGGAGGCTATAGCACTCAATATACCCTTTTCCTTTTTGCTCACCTCAAATTAGCCACTCTCAACCATTAAGAACTCATATAGTATAAAATCATGATGTTTAATCACTATCTTCATTCAAAATCTTTATTAGATTTTCACAATCATCCTGTCATTTTTTTCAAACTTATTACTATTATTTACATTTATTATTTAGCATTATTTTGTATTATTCATTTTTTAGTTTTTACTACTATTTATTACTCCTTTATATATGCAATGTGGCTAAGTGGCTTCCCTACTGAATTTCTAACAACAAAGACCGAGTTCGATTCTTCACGACTGTGACAGGGTTGCCATAAAAATTAAACTTTATTTTTTCCTGAGTTTTCCCTAATTTCCAGACAAAATTTTGATTTTTTCCCTGACCCTGAAAATATTCTACGATTCACTCTAAAAATGACTAGATACTAAAAAAAAAACTGGTCTATTACATTTATTTACAAACTTATGCAAATTACAAAATTTTTATTTTCAAATATAAATTTTTAAATACTTTCATAATCAAAATTTTAAAAATTCGCTTATTAAGTACAAAATTAATTATTATTGTTTATATTTTCAAAAAATTTAATATAATTCTTCGCAAAAATTCAATTATTTTCATACATAAATAATAACATTCTTCAGAATAATTCAATTCTTTTTATAAATAGTAAAATTTTTTTGCAAAAATCCAATTATTTTTAACCAAAAATTTTAATAAAATTTCAGAAAAGAATTCAATTATTTTCTAAAATTTTAATAAATCATTCTAAACAATTCCATTACTTTCAATAAAATTTCGCGAAAGAAATTAATTTTTTTCTTAATTCGTTATAAAATTTTTGAAAAGAATTCAATTATTTTCTAAAATTTTAATAAATTCTTCGAAACAATTCAATTATTTTTATAAGTTGTAAAATTCTTCGCAAGAATTCAATTAATTTTTGAAATAGTAAAATTCTTTGTAGGAAATCAATTATTTTCAAAACAATTTCAATTATTAAATTCCTCTGAAGAATTCAAAATTTCAAAAATTTTTTAATGGATTTCGAATAAATTCAATTATTTTCTAAAATGTAATAAACCATTTAAAACCATTCAATTATTTTTATAAATTGTAAAATTTTTCACAAGAATTCAATTAATTTTTTAAATAGTAAAATTCTTTGCAGGAATTCAATTATTTTCAAAACAATTATAATTGAATTCCTCGAATGAATTACAATTTTTTTTTAATATTTCCATAAATTTCAATTATTTGCTAAAATTTTAATAAATTCTTCGAAACAATTCAACTATTTTTTGAAATACTAAAATACTTTGCAGGAATTAAATTATTTTTAATCAAATTTAAATAAACTTACACGAAAGAATTTAATTATTTTCAAAAAATTTCCATAAAATTCAATTTTAACAAGAATTTAAAATTCCCTAAAAAAATAATTAAATTATTCTCAAAATATTTTTAAAAAATTCTCTATAAAAATTAAATTACTTTCAATGCAATTTTTAAATATATTCGTCAAAAAAATTGAAAGAATTCAATTATTTTCAAAAAATAAATTTAATTTAATTAATTTAATTTAATTTCTGCAAAGTATAATATTATTCATTTTCAAAAAAATTTAATTTCTGTGATGAATTTTGATATTTATCAAAATAATTGCATTTTGGAATTGAATTTTATTAAAATTCCTTAAATTAATTGATTGCATGGTAAGAATTTGGTTGTATATCAAGATAATTCAATTCTTTTGCAGAATTGCTTAAAAGTTTTTCACAATAATCAATTTTCTATACGACAAATTAAAAGTTATTTATGAAAATAATTGAATTATTGAAACGAATTTTATTATTTTATTGAATAATTCAATGTTTCTTAAAATTGGATTTTATGAAAATAGTAAACATTGAAAATCATTGATTTGCAAAAAACTTTTGAAAATAATAAAAATTTTGCAAAGAATTTTGCTGAAATTTATAAAAATAATTGAATTTTTGGCGAAAAATGTTGCTATTTATAAAGATAATTGAGTTCTTGACGAGATTTTCGTTAAATTTTTTTAAAATAATTGAATTTCTTCGAAAAATTTTATTACTTTTGAAAATAATTGAATTCTTGTAATGAATATTGTTATTTATGAAAAATTAAAAAGAATAAAATTTTGAAAAGAATTTTTTTTTTTAATTCTAAAAATAATTGAATTTTTGTGAAGAATTTTGATATTTATCAAGATAATTGCATTAAAACTTTTGAAAAAATGAAATATTATTAAAAAATTCATTCTGGTCAGAAGAAGAAAAAAAATTCATTTTGTTTTATTTATTATTTCACTCAATATTTTATTTAAAAAAAAAATGTGTCACTAATTTAATATTTATAGAAGAACATCAACATTTGTCATATACTAATTTATTAACTCTATGTATAATATATACAAATTTACTCCATCCAAACATTTTCATCCGTTATATAAAATAAAATCTACCCTCTCTATCATTTCAAATATATATTTTACTGAATAAATAAAATGTATTAATTAAAATATATGTAGGTTATCTACTGTGAATTTATTTTTGATTTTATAAATTTACAAAGAATATTTAATGTATTTGAAAAAAGAGTGAAAAAAAAGATGACAAATGTGTGATGATAAAAATTGTTTAATTAATTTTTAACGGTTTTTAGAAAAAACACAGTTATTTTTATTAAGATTTTACCTCCTATATTAAGTGAATTGAACTTTAATAACAAACCATCTGCTACCCGCGAATAATCGTAAATATGCAAATTAAATCGCAACATCGTAATAAAAATTCTTTTTTTCTTCTTCGTATCTATCACAAAAGATGTAAAACTGTCTAAAAGTTAAAATAGATTTATGGGAAAGAAAAAAGTTCATATTTAGAATTCAATTTTTTTTTTTGTCAATGGCAATAGAAATTTTATTTCTCCGCAGTTTCGAGCTAAAAACTTCACGAAGCCGACGCTAAATTCCAAAATATAATGTATTACTGAATTGTTTATTTAGTTTTTTTTATTTATTTTTATTTTATTTTCTATATTATATATGAATATATATTTTTTTATTTTTATTTATTATTATAATTTATTTATTTATACAGGAAAAGAAAAAAAAATTTAATTTTCAGAAACGCAGAAAATTTTTATGTGTTGAATCAAAATTATTATGTTTAATTCAAAAATAATTTTTTGTTGACTGTATAACAAAGTTTGATTCAAATATAGTTTTCTCAGTGTAATTATTTTATTTGAATTTACTTTTTTATTAATTTGTAATATTTTGAATTTTTATTAACTCAATTTTAATTTTCTATTTTTAATTATTGTAAGTTATTCGTTTAATTTTTAGACTTTAAATCGGAGCAGTACAGTTAAAATTTTATTTTTTAAATTTTCCGAATACAAATTTTAAATTCGATTTGTATTGAAAAAAAATAATTCCAAAATTTTGAATTCAATAGTGAAAATCTAATAACAGATCTCCGTCTTTCATCAGCTAAAATAATTTAAAAATTCAATCATGAAGTGATGGAATTCATGTACATTTACAGGTGGCTTAATAAGTTATACAATGCCCGATTCTCCAATGGCCGAATTGAGCGACAGTTCTTACGATGGAACTAGAGAATCTGGAATACTCTCTGGAGGCTTAGGTCGACTGATCGATGGAGAGACCGGTGCCGATAATTACAGGATGGATACCGGATATGGAAGAGGTAATTCTAATGCTGCAACGATGCACTGCTTTCTATTTCCCACAGATACTTAATTAACCATCTAATCCTTCATCACGATTCACTACCAAATATATATATATATATATACAAATACAAATACAAATACACACATTCACTACTGATCCACTTTACGCGACATCATCAATTTTATTAGGTCACCAAAACACTACAATAACTCATTCTTATTCAATTTTCCTTTTGTTAAAATCAACAATCATTCAAATATAGATTTCTCATTGTGCGACCTATTCCCTTCTGTCATAATATACTCAATCACAATAACGAACAAACTGAAATTACATTTACTTATTCAAAGCGAAAAAATACGATAGAAAAATATTTTTAAATTACAACAAATAGTGAAAGAGAGAGAGGAAAAAAATTGATAAAACATTTTCTATTTCAATATAACGAAGAAAATCAAAACTTAATTATTGTTGAAAATATTAAAAGTTGGTTTCAATCGAAAATTCCAAACAGAAATGTAAATTAAAATTTCTGGACAAATTGAATAATTTTTTATTTAATTGGAAATTTCTAATAACAAAAAGTTCATGAAACATAAACAGTGATAAAATTGAATTTCTTTGAAAAAGAAAAAAAAATTTTGAAAAAATACTCTGTCAAGAGGAGAATACTAAAAAACAACTTCGAAATTAAACAAAACTTATCAAAACTCATAAAATTCAAAATTTTAAAAACTGAATTTTTTTTAATAAGTAATTAATTTAATAAGTATGGTATCTTTAATTTTCACTTTAAAATTTAAATCAAAGTCATATTAGCTTTTAAAACACTCTTTTCTGAATAGACTACCAAAAAACTAACTTCTAAATTCAACAAAACTCTTATCAAAACTCATAAAACCAAAATTTTCGAAAAATTGAATATTTTGAGAATTTTAAAAGTCTGGTATCTCCTTCAATTTAGAGCAAACTCTTTGTCATTAATTTAAAAACACTCTATTCTGAGAAGAATACTAAAATCAAACTTCTAAATTTAACAAAACTCTTATCAAAACTCATAAAATTTCAAATTTTTGAAAAATGGATTTTTAAAATTTTAGAGTATGGTAAATCCTTTTAAATTTTCCTCTTAGATCAAAGTTATTTAGATTAATTTTAAAATATTCTGCTGTGAAAACAGAATTCTCATCCGAACTCATAATTTTTTTAATTTAAACTCATAGAACTCTAAATTTCAGAACTTTTAATTTCTCATAAATTTCAAAGTGTAACGATATTTTTAGATTTTGTCTAAAGGGGAATCTGTTAGAAAATATTTTCTAAAATCTTTGTTAATAATTTCAAAATTATAAGCGGAACTCACAGAATTTTAGCCAATTAGAAGTCATAAAGAACTTTAAATTTTGAGAATTTAATTGATCAACAAACTAAAACACTAGTCTTTATTTTCACTTTAGAGCAAACTAATATATTAATACAACTCATAATAATAATTTTTAGCAACTAGAAATTCCAGAAAAATAGAATTATTTAACATACATTTTTGCAACTAAGCAAAAAATCTTATTAGAACTCATAGAATATGGAATTTTAAATCTTTTGAAATATGTCATCTTTTATTCATTTTCTTGTGTAACGAAAACAGTTTCTAAAATTATTTATAAAAAATTTAAAAAACTCTTACTAATAGATCTAAAATTTCAATCGGAACTCATAGAACTGTGAGGAAAACTCTTAAATGAATTTTAATATAAAATATATTAAAATACAGTATCTTTTTTCGAACTATTACTTTAGAGGGAACTGTTACTAGAATTATTTGTAAATATTTTGCAAATAATTCCACAACTCTTACAAGAACTCATAGAACTTAAGAAAATTAGAACTCATTAAAAACTATATATTCTAAAAATATAATTTATTGTTAAAGTGCAACAAAATATTATTATTGTCAGAATAAATAGGGAGAATTATTTGCAAAACTCTTTATGATGAGGCAAAAAATCTTATAAAAATTCATAAATCTGTGAATAAAACTCATAGAACTCTAAATTGTAGAAAATTTCAAAGCGTTGCAATTTTTTTCTGCTTTATAGAAGAAATAATTAAATAAGTTAAATAATAATAATATTTGCGAAACAAAATAAGAGCAAAAAGAGAAAACCCCTTAGAAGGGGTTTTATCAAAACTCTTAAAAGAACTCTTAAAAGAACTCACAAAATTCTAAATTTTAAAAACTTCATTTATCGAAAAATAAAAATAGTCCCTTTTGAAATTTTTAACTTATAGCAAACTTTAAACTCATTACAACACAAATCTAAATTCCTAACACAAAAACCAAAATTTTCAAAAGAACTCAGAAGGGAAATATAAATCTAAAACTCATAAAACTAAAAAATTTTATAAAATTAAAAAAAACATAATTTTCCGAATATTTTTACAAATATTTAAAGCAAATATCTAAACGAGAATAAGAGAATTAAATTGCAAAAGGATATATTTCCTCTCAAAATATATGGTAAATTATATAACAATCTTTTAAAGAATAAATTTAATTAGAATTGTAATTATAAATTTAAAAAATTCTATAATACATCAAAGAACTTTTCAAGTTCTTTAGACTCGAGTAAAAAGAAATAATATAATAAAATGCAATTATTTTAAAAGGAACGACAAAGTAATTAAAGTAAAACTAATTACGTTAAAGTGAAATAGTTTAATATTTCAGTTTAATTAATATCAAAGTTAAGTCGGATCTAGTTAGAAAATGCAAATAATATATATGTATATATTTCTCTGAAAAGATATAGAAGGTCGAGAAACTTTAATGACTATACAATTATTACAGAGTTGTTTTGCACTTTAATTGACAATTTCTCCTCATTTTTCGTTAAAAATTCCTCATTGAAATCAACTTTTTCAAATTTTCAAAATGTCAAAAAAAAAAAGAAATTCCTTCATAATATATAATAAATTTGTTAAGCAAAAAAAATTTCTCTTGATAAAAATTACATAATTATAGCAAAAAATGTTAATTGATTTTTTTAGGAAGCGGTTGGATTGCTTGGATGCGGGATACTTTTCTCGACAACTTTATTGAGCTCATTTTTCATTTCGACGATCTTAGAATTTTCAATGCCGTACATATTTATACGAACAACTATTTTTCAAGGGACGTTCAGGTGCGATATTATTTCAAATACTTACCAAATAATAATAATAATAATAATAATAATAATAATAATAATAATAATAATTAATAATTAATAATAATAATTAATAATAATAATACTATTAATTATTATTGTTAATTTATTATTATTACATAATATAATATTATTTCAAATATTTTCCAAATAATAATAATACTGTTATTAATTATTATTAATGAATTATTATTATATAATATTATTCCGAATAATTTCCAAATATTAATAATATTATTATTATTATTATAATGAACTATTTATTAATATTTAATATTATTCCAAGTAGATATAATAATTAAATTTCCATAGGATTAATTTTTTCTCAATATTTTTTCTTGTATTCTTTTTGTAAAAAAAAATTACGATTGAATTAAACAAATTACGATTTTTTCCAATAAAAGCGAATCATTAAAACAATATTCCCTGCTTATTGAGACATAATTAAGTAGACGGTAATTCAATTTCTTTTAATTAGACAAAATTTCAACTTCTCCTTATCGTAATAATAACAATATCAAATATTGTATAATGCCTCTCAGTGTAATGTGACGAGAAAATACCATTAAACCGCAAGAATTTGAATTGAACCGCAAACATTCAAACATTGAAAACAGAAAATGTTAAAAAGGGATAATTAAAAATTACTGTACAAGCTAATTACTAATTATTGGAAATTTTCAATTAAATGTAAATTACTAATTATTACCATTTAATGTAAAACGATAATTTCAAATTTTTAAAAATCGTTATTAAATAATTTCTAATTGTATTTGCCTTTGACAGTTCGGATTTTTTATTTAGAAGAAAGTTTAAAAAGTCAATTAACTTATTAACTCAAAATGGCGGAACCAATATGGCGAAATACTTTTTCTTCACTCCAAAGAATATTTTGATTTAGTTTAAAAATTATTACTCAGAAAAATATTCTATTCCTTCTTTTTTAAATAAATATTTAATGATTATTATTACCTATTTGAAAATAAACAATTTTTAAAAATTTGTTATAAAACATGAGGAAACGATCACTTCGAGTCTTCGACTCGGAGCAATCGATATCTTCACATGTTTTATAATAATTAATTAACAATCAAAGATGACCGACTGATAAAATAATAATTTTATATTATAAGAATATTGTTACTGTAACTTCATCAAATTTATTTTTATCATTTCAATTCAATTATTTTTAACTAAAACTCTTCTTTAAATTAATTATTCATTCATTTTTAATAATTTTTGAAAAATTTCTTTGAAAACTTTCAAATTCTTTTCTTTACAATTCAATTTTATGAAATTTCATAGATTATTCGGAAATTTTTCAATCAAATATATATTAGAAAATAAAAACTTGAAATAATTTTAAAAGTTCCATTAAACTTTTTTAAAAAAATTAAATCTACACAATTTTAAGTTAAAAGTATGAAAAATTCAAACTTTCAAAGATTATAATTTGAAAGCTATTCAATATTCAAAATTACTTCTAAAATTAAATAAATTAACTGTTAAATTAGTAGAAACGACTATTAATTAGTAAAATCTGCATATTCTAAAGCAAAAATTCAGTCACTAATTCAAATTAGAAACCATTTTTATTAATTCAAATTTACAGAGTTTAATGTTCAATTATTATTTAAAATTTTAACTGAAATGCATATTTGAAATTAATTTTTATTAGAAAATTTTGCAAAAATTAAATTATTTATATACAAAAATAAATAATTTACTGAATAATCGAATTTTTCTCAAAATTAAATTCTGATAAAGAATTTTATCAACAAATTTTTAAATAATTAAAATTCTTTTGACAAATTTTAATAACTAATTGAATCTCTGTAAAAAATTTGATTGAATTGAGAAAAGTTTTTGAAAATAATTGAAATTTTGACAAGAATTTTATTAAAATTTTTGAAAATAATTGAATTCTGAAAAAGAATTTTATTATTCATAAAGATAATTGAAATTTTTACGAGAATTTTTTTAAACTTTTGACTATAATTGAATGTTTTTGATGAATTTTATTACTTTTGAAAATAATTGAATTCTTGAGACGAATTTTAATAATATATTTCTTTTTGAAATAATTGAATTAAATTAAAAATTAAAATTGTATTGACAATAATAATTAAATGCTAATAAATAAATTATAGAAAAGCTTTTTAAAAAAAAATGGAATTTCTTTGATGAATTTTAATAAAATTATTAACGATAATTACATTTTTCGAATTAAAACCATTTAAAGTTCATCTATTTATGAAAATTGTTAACGCAACTCTTTTAAAATTCAATTAATTTTGAAATATTTAAATAAAATTAGATTTTAAAAATAAGCACAATAACTTTAGAAAACAATAGTTTTCAGGATACCGATCCAAAATTCTTTTCCAGGTTTTTTTTAAGATTTATAAAATTCCCTGACATTTCCAGGTTTTTTAAGGTTTCCAGGTTGCGTGGCAACCCTGCAATTTTTTGGAATTGCTGATGACGAACCTAAAATTAATTTTTTAAAATTCGAAATGGCAGAACTAAAATGGCAAACAAATTTTATAAAATTGATCAGATTCGTTTGAAAATTGTTATTTAGGCCTTTTTGGAGTCGTTAATTACAAATCTAATGTCACTTTTTCAAAATCAAATCAAAATGGCCGAATATTTTTTTTAAAAATTAAAATTGATCGAATTCGTCTAAAAATCATTACTTAGGGGTTTTCAGGATCACTAATCACGAATTTGATGGAAGTTTTGCAAAATTATAATCCGCCATAATGCTAAAAATAGCAAAAATGAAAATTGAATTTCAACTGTATTTTTAAATTTCGAATTTAAAATCACTTATTCTCAATTATTATCACCAATTATTTAACAAAAGGAATTTTGCAGGTTTTCTCAAAAGCAGAGGTTTGGTTTAGCGAAAACGGTGGATTTGAAGACGACAAAGAACCACTGTCTTACTCCTACATTCCTGACACCGTTTTGGAGAATGCTCGCAATGTATCGATTAATTTACACGGTCAACTCGGCCAATTCGTCAAAATTCATCTCTTCTTCGCTGCAAGATGGATAATGATCAGTGAAATAACATTCGAGGAATGTAAGTAAATCATCAAACTAAGTAAATTATTTCAACTACTAATTATTATAACTACAATATCACGACTAATAATTCTATAAATAATTTACCACAAAAGAAACATTGAAATTCATCAAGTAAAGTTAAGAAATCATTTTCCTAAAACACAAAAGACAAAATTCAAAGAAGAAACAATTTTTCAATTTTTCCAACGAGTTGAACGTTAACTTTGATGAAAAACATTCGAGACAAGAATTTTTCATTCTTAGCTTGATTAGATTTCTCCGTAGAAAATAAGGAATCTTCAGCTAAGAGAAATGAAATTGTCACATAAACATTGTCCTTCTAAATGTAAATGGCGAAATAAATTTCAAGTCTAATACAGATGTTCTATTTACTTTAGCCAATCCATTCGAGAACGTGACAGAGGAGACTGTGTCCAAAATTAGTAATGGGGAGGTTCGAGTAAACCAGGACGTGGACCTCAACTTACAAACGAGTAGGTAACTTGTCCAGCATACTTTGGTACTTAGCTCACAAGTCAGTTTCCGTACAAATAGACAAAGTTACACCAAGTGCTTACTTCTAAAGATAATTACACATTCCAAAAGGAAAGTCAGCTTTTTCTTCAAACTATATATACATATATATACAATTTCAGCATTTCATCTTCGTGCCTTTCTCTTGAGACTAAAACTTTTAACCAAATGTTTGCCTTTATTCTCGAAAATTAGACAGGTAAGCAATTGCGTTCTGGTTAACGAAAAACGTCTTCGATTTTGGCACGAGTTGTGAGTTCATTAGGAAAATGAGCACGTCATTCTGTGTGCAAGGGAAAACGCGATTAAAAGGCATCCAAACTAACCAACTTCCACTGTTGGTGCTTTATAATTTGAGTGAGAGAGAAGTAACTTTTCAACGGAAACGTAAATAATTAAATGAATTGTACGTCAACTTTGGAAAAGACGATAAATACTCGAATTGGTTAAAATTGCCGTCGAGTTTGATTTAATTAAAAATTAAATCAAATAAGTCTTCACTCACTCTTTTATATATTTATTTTCAAACGGAAGAAAGTAATTAAAAATTTTCGTTTTAACTCTGAATTAGAAATATTATATTTCTCCGATTATAGAAATTTTGTTAAATAAATTACATTTCGGAGTTCGAGTTTGTGACAAGTCTGTTAAGTTTTTAATATAATAAGTTACCGATTCGTTTAACTAGACAGTTCAAAATCGTTTGCTTACTAAAAAGGAAAACTAATCTAATTTTCGGAAAGAAGGTAACAAACAAATTATAAAAGCTGTAAACAAATAAATAATTTCAACTGTTATATTAACTTTATTTTACTAAAAAATTCTAAACTGTTGTCAATGGAAATACTAAACACTAAATTCACTAAATAAATTTACTAAAATGAATGAATTTTCGTAAAGTCATCGCAGCTGCGTGGAAATTTACATGCTAAGCATCCCTGACGTTCACAAGTTCAATCCCACCCGCGTGAGAAAAATTTTGTTTCCTAGAGTTTAGTGCTATATGTAATAAAAAGAACTTTAAAAAATTTAAGTAATTACTAAAGTCACTAATTTAAAAACTCTCCTCTTTCTAAGCAAAGAAAATATTTTTCAGCAATATTCCCATAATTTATAATAAATCCCTGATACAGAAATATTATAATTCCACGAGATAATTAAAAATTTCAGTTTCTCTATATTACTATTATAAAATATATTTTCCTCTTTAGAATGAGCTTTACTTTAATCTTTCAAGTCATGCGAGCCAACAGAGAAATTCGCCATTTTTTTATTTATTTTCTTTTTTTTTAACAAATATACCCGATTTGCCCAGCAGGTGTAAATAAAAGAGTAATACAAAATTTAGCAAACAAACAAAAGGGAAAAATGAAAAAACTAGAGATATGGAGTTTGAATTCAACCGTAATACCTCCTACTGAACTGGATTGTGCTTTACTAATTTTATCTTGGTGGCCAGTGAAAAACGTCAAAAATTTTAAAATGTCTACTCATCCGAACTTTCCTTCCGCATAAGTTACCACGATTTAACGTTTCACCTCCCTCGATTAACATTCAAAATTTTTGTAACAAAAGAATATATCATATTTTAAAGGGCTATAAAAAAATTTTTATTGTAATAAAATTATTTTAATTAATTAAATTTTTTATGCACGATAAGCGTTTTAATTAATTAATTAATTAATTAATTAATTAATTAATTAATTAATTAATTAATTAATAAATTAATTAATTAATAAAAGAATCATTATCATACATAAAAAACTTATACTAATTAATTAATAATTCACACACTAATTCAGACTTCGAGAATACAATAAATTTTGTTAATACACTGGAGCTTCACTTATTTTCACTAAGTCCAAACAAACTGAAAGGCAAAGTCGCACTTATTTTCACTCTGAAACGTAACATTCGAGTTGATTTGATTGGTGGATTCTTTAACATCAACCAATGAGAACGCACGGAGAACCATTTAACTGAAAATAAGTGAGACTGGAAATGGTGAAAATAAGTGAGACTGAAAATAAGTGAGACTAAAAATAAGTGAAGCTCCAGTGTAATTTAATTTTTGTTTGTAAATTAAATTTAATTATTTCTGAATTTTCTTACAGTAACAGCAAGAGAGGAGGGCAAAGAATACGTGGAGGTTCTAATAGGCGTTCTAACCGCAGTGACATTACTTCTATTATTAGTATTTGTAATAATTTTGTTACTAAGTCGTCGACAAAAACTACAAAGTTCACCGACAGTTTTGAAAAATCCATTTGGATTTGCAATCAACATGAAACTTAAATTTCCAGTGAGTTTTATTTCATTACATACCACAAAGAGCAATAATTATCCTTTAAAGTAAATTACAATTGTTCATCGTAATATCAATGAACTAATTTCTATATTAACAATTCGTAATGACAGTTAATCACCAATAATAATATTTGTAACATTTCTCTAAAAGTTTTCATTTAAGTCCTTTATAATGATAATCAACATTTAATGTACAATGATTATTATAATTATTATCGGCAAATTGTTCCCTCGTTTATGAATTACAAACTGTTTAACTAAAATTTAATTTCAATTTTTCAATTCAAGTTAATTACGTGATATTGTTGAAAATGCATTCAGAAATATTTTTTAATTTTGTTCTACTTTATTTCGTTCTACTTAATATTGTTCTACTAAATTTTGTTCTCCTTCATTTCGCTCTGCTTAATTTGGTTCTATTTATTTTTTTCTACTTAATTTCGCTCGACTAATTGTGGTTCTAATTAATTTTTTCTACTAATTTTTGTTTTTATTTATTTTTTTCTACTTAATTTGGTTCTACAATTCGTTCTACTTAATTTCACTCTACTTAATTTTTTTTCTACTTAATTTGGTTCTACAATTCGTTCTACTTAATTTCACTCTACTTAATTTTTTTTCTACTTAATTTCGTTCCTCTTAATTTCTTTCCACTTAATTTGCTTCCCCTTAATTTTCTACCAAGAAAATAATTCCTCCCACCGGAAATTATTTCCAATTGAATAAAAACGAGTTTGAGTGAGAAATGAACAATTTTGTGGGAATATTTCAAAAATGCTTTTTCAAGTGAGGAGCCACCAGAAGGGTTCATTATGAAAATTGTATTTACAATTTCACAGGACTTCCTTCTAAATTTAACCCCGGGTGGAATGTTAAACAACAACGCCCACGTCTCTCCGGATGTTCCGGAGGACGTTAGCATGCACGAACCACTGACGATGGAACAGTTTAATTCTCCTCTGGTAGACTCACAGTACAAGTCTACTTATGCGGTTGTTGCGAATTCTGGTACGTATATAGTCACAATGTCAGAAGAGTTTAATCAACAAGAAAATAACAACTCTTTATCATAGAATTTTATCAAAAATGATCAAAATGAATAAATGATCAAAAAAATAAAGAACCATCAAAATCCATATTATGGTAAATCAACGAAAGAATCTAATAATCAATTGTATTTTTCATCAACAGACTCACCGCAGAAATTAAATAATCTCGACAGTCCGGACATTAATGTACGTCTCAAGTCAAAATCTGAATGTTCGTCATCATCGTCGTCAGATTCGCCGATTCGTCAAACGCAACACTATCGAACACTACAGACATACAATAATTCACCAGTGAGACCGACTGTTATTAATTTGTCAACACGTCATCGAGATTCTGATTATGGACATTCAAAAAGGTGGAACACTGCTCCAAAAGAAAAGCACAAAGTAAGCGTCCTTCTAGTTTCTTAATTTTCTTTTTTATTTCATTTATTGCATAATTTTTTCTTTTACTCTCTAAATTTGAATAGAAACAAATATTTACTAATTCTCGTCAAAATTTCAATTATTTTTATAAATTACAAAATTCTTCGCAGAAATTTAATTACGTTCAAAAATTTCAATTTTTAAAAATTCTCCTCAAAATTTCAATTATCTTTATAAATAATAGAATTCTTCCCCAAAATTCAATTATTTTTGAAAAGTTTAATAAAATTCTCGTCAAAATTTCAATTATCTTTATAAATTATAAAATTCTTCGCAGAAATTCAATTACGTTCAAAAATTTAAATTTTTAAAAATTCTCTTTAAAATTTCAATTATTTCTATAAATAATAAAATTCTCGTCAAAATTTCAATTATCTTTATTAATAATAAAATTCTTAATAGAAATTCAATTAAGTTAAAAATTTTAATAAAAATTCTTAGCACAATTTCAATTATTTTTATAAGCAGTAAAATTCTTCTCCAAAATTAAATTATCTTTATAAACAATAAAATTTTTCCCCGAAATTCAATTATTTTTGAAAATTTTAATAAAATTCTCGTCAAAATTTCAATAATCAATAATCATTATTAATAATAAAATTCTTAATAGAAATTCAATTATTTTTATAAATAATAAAATTCTTCTCCAAAATTCAATTATTTTCAAAAGCAATAAAATCCTTTGCAAAATTCAATTATTTTTAAAAGTAATAAAATTCTTCTCCAAAATTCAATTATTTTCGAAAATTTTAATAAAATTCTCGTCAAAATTTCAATTATCTTTATAAACAATAAAATTCTTCTCCAAAATTCAATTATCTTTATAAACAATAAAATTCTTCCCCAAAATTCAATTATTTTTGAAAATTTTAATAAAATTCTCGTCAAAATTTCAATAATCAATAATCTTTATTAATAATAAAATTCTTAATAGAAATTCAATTAAGTTAATAATAAATTTTAATAAAATTCTTGGCACAAATTCAATTATTTTTATAAATAATAAAATTCTTTTCCAAAATTCAATTATTTTCAAAAGTAATAAAATCCTTTGCAAAATTCAATTATTTTTAAAAGTAATAAAATTCTTCTCCAATATTCAATTATTTTCGAAAATTTTAATAAAATTCTCGCCAAAATTTCAATTATCTTTATTAATAATAAAATTCTTAATAAAAATTCAATTAAGTTAAAAAATTTTAATAAAATTCTTGGCACAATTTTAATTATCTTTATAAATAATAAAATTCTTCTTCAAAATTATTTTTAAAAGTAATAAAATTTGTCTCCGAAATTCAATGATTTTCAAAAATTTTAATAAAATGTTTGGCAAAATTTCAATTATTTTCAAAACTAATAATATTAGTGGAAATTACTATTTCTTTTATTTTTAATTTTTGCTTTTAAATTAGTAAGTTTTACTAATAGATTAGTAGAAATTAATATTTATTACTATGTAATTAATTCATTAGTAAAATTTACTAATTCGAATGCAAAAAGTCAGTCCCTAATTTAAATTAGTAAACATTTTCACTCATTTAAATGTGGAGAGTAATTTCTACCTACTTATTAGTAGAAATAGTAAATTTTAGATTAAGATTTCGAAATTAGAATAAAAAAAAATTGTTAAAAAATAATACTTTACATAAATTTATTAGTAAAATTTACTAATTCAAAAGCTAAAAGTCAGTGACTAATTCAAATCAGTAAAAATTTGTACTAATTCAAATTTATACTGGTGTTTAATATTTTTTTTTTAATTGAAGTTATTCGATTACAATTCTACTTTTTCCACATAACCAAAGACTTTATTAAGGGCCTGACCAGTTTCTGACAAGTTTTCAATTTTTCTTATTATAAAATCACTAATTTTATTTTTTTAGGTACCAGCGCCTGTTGTCAGTTGGAATATCGCGCCTAGTATGAATAAGCCGTACAAGTGCAGGGAAATTGAACCTACGAATATTCCACATCAGTGTCTGCATACTATGGAGAAACTTGGCTCCAGTCATATTGGAGAGGTAGGAAAAACTAGACCAAAAAAGTAAAAACTGATAAAAAAGGGCTTGAGCAAAGCCATAAATAACCAGTGTTTATATTTTTCCAAAAGAATAGGAGATGGAAAATAAACTAAAGACTAAGCCAAAAAAGGCAAAATAGGGATTTAACAAGGCTATAGATAGTTTTCTAATTTTTCTTAGAAAAATAAGTTGGAAAAACTGAACTAAAAGCTGCTAAAATAGGCATTCACCAGTTTTCCTTTTTTCTCAAAGAATAAGGAATTTCTAATTAATTTTTTCAATTTATTATTCAAATTCAATTTTCCCTTTTTTTCACAAAAAATAGGAAAATTTGTATTGAATTTCATTTAAGTTTTTTATTTAAATTTAACTCAAAAATTAACTAAAGACAAAACAAAAAGGGCTAAAATAGAGCTTTAACAAGGCCATAAATAGTTTTCCTAATTTTTTATAAATATTGAAAAACTAAACTAAAAGCTACCAAAATAAGGCTTCAACTAGTTTTCCCTTTTTCCGAAAAAATAGGAGAGAAAAAATAAACTAAAGACTTAACAAGGGCCTAGCCAGTTTGCCTAGTTTCTGGCAAGAAACCCTCTGGAGCTTCATATCAAATCTTTTTGATTTTTGACAAACTGGGTAAATCCCTACGTAGAACATTTTTAATTTTCCAATGGAAAAATTTACCTTATTTTCAAAGTTTAATTTTACAAAAAATTTCCTTCTCTGAAAGAGAGTTTCAATAAGGATCTAGCTAGTTTTCCTGTTTACTACCTAGTCCCCTGTTCGAGCCCTCCTCTAAATAGCCCAAAAATGGGTAAATTTCCCCAAAAGTTATTTGTTTCGGCATTTTTTTTTTCCTGTTTAAAAGAAAAGATTTAAATTAAAAGAAAATATGGCCAAAACAGGGCCCCAACAAAGCCTCTGCCAGAAAGTAAAAAATTCCCCAAATCCCCATTGAAGCTCCGCCAACATTCATAACAGCAGAGCCTTAAAAATGAAAACAAATTTTTTTTGCTTAGAAAACAGTTTTTCTAAGGGTAAAAATTGAGACAGAAAACGAATCAAAACGTTGCAACGTTTTGATTCGTTTTTTTGTCTCAATTTTTCCCCTTAGAAAAACTGTGAATTTTCCTTTAAATAGAAAAGACAAATTACATGCAAATTTCACCCCCAACGACTTGATTACACTAAAATAAAAAAATTTCTCCTTTCTTTTCATCGCAGGTAATAGTTTGTGCAGCAACGACTTTAGGTGAAATTGACGATGCTGAAGCACTGAGATTAATTGTTGCTCGAGTACCAGCATCTAACAAGGAGAGTAAGTGCAGTAATGCAAGTGACGCCATGAGGGAAGTACGCTTTCTGTCTGGCCTCTCTGATCCAAACGTGGCTCGTGTTCTGGGTGTTTGCACAGCAGATCCAGCAACGCCCTGGACGATAATCGAGTACACGGAGCTTGGCGATCTTGCTCATTATTTACAATACAGTGAGCCGCTCACTGGAATACAGAGGCCAAACTGCAGTCTCAATTTACTCAGGTAATTAATATATCGAACGCTAGTAATTTTGATTAAATCAATTTTCAAACCTCCCCTCCCCTCCTCCACACTCTTCCTCATTTGACAAGAGCAAAATTTTCTAGTCGAAGGGAAAATTTAAACACCATATAATAACATTAATTGCTCAATAATTAATCGTTTAGCACATCCATTTTATTCTACAACAATCACTCAATTTTAATTGATTTTCATTTTAATTACTCTTTATTTATTGATTGCAATTAAATTATAAATTATTTAATTAGAATTTTTTTAAATTTCAATCTTTATCAAATTTGAATTAGAATATTTTTTAATTTCAATCTCTTCAAATTTGAATTAGAATTTTTTTTAATTTCAATCTCTTTAAATTTGAATTTGGACTTTTTTAAATTTCAACTTTTTATTTATTTATACATTCAAATTAGTCAAGTAAATTGGGAAATTTTTTAATTCATTAATTGCAATAAAATTATAAAATTCAAACCTTTTCAAATTTGAATGTTAGTTTTACAAAATTTCAATTTTATATTTAATTATTTACTTTCGGCGGTCAAAATAGTAAAATTTATTAATTTTTTTTATACAAATAAATTATAAAATATTCAATCAGAACTTTTTTAAAATTTAATTTTTAATTTTTCAAAATTTCAAGTTTTTTTTAATTTGAATGAGTTTTTTAAAATTTTAATTCTTTATTTGTTTATTTATTCAATTTAGACGGGAACAAAGGCAAATTTTATAATTTGTTAGATACAATAAAATTATAAATTGTTAAATTAGAATTTTTTAAAATAGGGGAGACTGGGACGAAAAGTTAAATTGTGAAAACAGTTAAAATTCATTATCTTTCGAACGGAAATAGTTAGAGCATTGCAATTTTAAGTATATTTTTTGAATTTATTATCATCGCGATTTTTTAGGTCTTTATTTGGGTCTCCTGAAGAGATACCTAAAGGTATTTACTAAATATCTTTAGTCAGATTTTTTATATTTGTTGTTAAAGCCAAAAACGCACCCTGGGGCGAAAAGTTAAATGTATTTTTACATGTTATTAAAAAAATTTTTTTTATTTTTCGTTTTTTTGGGTTTATTTGTTTAAAAATGATTTATTTGACATTAGGCAAGTACTCTATCAAAAAACAAAACCGCTCACGTGAAATAAACCAAAAAAAATTTTTTTTTTTTTTGAAATTTCAATTTAATAACTTTATAACTATTTTAAAGCTTTTGTTAAGTAAACAAAGATCTTTTATTAACTAAATTACTTGTTTACGTATACTTTAACTTATCTACTACTTAACACCTATCAGAAAATAGTTTTAGTAGGCTAAAAATAGAATTTAACTTTTTGCCCCAGCCATTTAACTTTTCGCCCCAGCATGGGGCGAAAAGTTAAAAAAAACAATATTTTCAAAAAAGGACAAAACACGTATTGTATGCGAAAATATCAGAAACTTTTTTATTGAAAGTTGTAGGGAACAAGTTGCCCTACAATATTGATGTATAAATATTTGCATCTAAGCGGATTATATTATCTAAAAAAAATCATTTATGCAAAATTTAACTTTTCGCCCCAGTCTCCCCTATTAATTGCCTTTTAATTTAAATTCGAGTTTTTTGATATTTCAATGTTTTATTTATTTATTTAAATTAGAATGGTCAAAATATCCAAATTTTATTATGTATTTATAAGACACAATTAAATTATGGATTATTCAGTAAAAATTTTTTTTTAAATTTTAATTTCAAATTGTCAAAATTCCATTTTTTTTTAATTTGAATTTGAGTTTTTTTAAATTTCAATATTTTATTTATGTTTATTTAATTTCGAACAGTCAAAAAATAAAAATTTTATAATTTATTAAAACACAATCAAATTATAATAAATTCAATCAGAATTTTCTTCAAACTTAATAATTTTAATTTCTTTTTAATTTGAATTTGAATTTTTCTGAATTTCAAGTTTTTTTAATTTGAATATGAATTTTTTAAAATTCCAATTTTTGATTTATTTATGTATTCAATTCAGACAGGAAAAATAGCAAATTTTCATGGTTTATAAACCATAAAATTAAATTAAATTTGAAATTCGAATCAAATTTTAGATTCGAATTGAATTTGAAATTTGAATTGAATATGAATTTCGAATTAAATTTTAGATTCGAATTGAATTTGAAATTTGAATTAAATTCTGAATTCGAATTGAATTTGAAATTTGAATTGAATTTGAAATTCGAATTAAATTTTAGATTCGATTTGAATTTGAAATTTGAATTGAATTTGGAATTTGAATTGCATTTGGAAATTGAAATTTGAATTTGAAAATTAAATTGAATTTGAAATTGAAATTGAATTTGAAATTGGAATTAAATTTTAGATTCGATTTGAATTTGAATTGAATTTTAGAATTTGAATTGAATTTGAAATTGGAATTGAATTTTAGATTCGATTTGAATTGAATTTGGAATTTGAATTGAATTTGAAATTTGAATTGAATTTGAAATTGGAATTAAGTTTTAGATTCGATTTGAATTTGAATTGAATTTGGAATTTGAATTGAATTTGAAATTCGAATTAAATTTTAGATTCGAATTGAATTTGAAATTTGAATTGAATTTGGAATTTGAATTGCATTTGGAAATTGAAATTTGAATTTGAAAATTAAATTGAATTTGAAATTGAAATTGAATTTGAAATTGGAATTAAATTTTAGATTCGATTTGAATTTTAATTGAATTTTAGAATTTGAATTGAATTTGAAATTGGAATTGAATTTTAGATTCGATTTGAATTGAATTTGGAATTTGAATTGAATTTGAAATTTGAATTGAATTTGAAATTGGAATTAAGTTTTAGATTCGATTTGAATTTGAATTGAATTTGGAATTTGAATTGAATTTTAAATTCGAATTATATTTTAGATTCGAATTGAATTTGAAATTGGAATTAAAGTTTAGATTCGACTTGAATTTGAATTGAATTTAGAATTTGAATTAAAGTTGAAATTTGAATTGAACTTGAAATGTGAATTGCATTTGAAATTGGAATTAAATTTTAGATTCGATTTGAATTTGAATTGAATTTGAATTGAATTTGAAATTGAAAATAAATTTTAGATTCGATTTGAATTTGAATTGAATTTGGAATTTGAATTGAATTTTAAATTTGAATTAAATTTTAGATTGGAATTAAATTTGAAATTTGAAAATAAAAACAAAAAAAATATCTCGGATCATTTAAATGGATAAAACACTCTTCACAGGGAAAAAATTATGCAAGTAGAACAAAAGTTTGTTTCGCTTGTTTTTTCTCACATTGTGAAAGCTTTTTTAATGACTACATTTCAAATGGCATGGATGAAAATAAAATGAACAATATTAAAGGGGGTGTTTGTTTTTTCTTCTCTTACTCCGTAGTATATAAGTGCAACGATACTTTTTTGTATCCTTTAAAGAGAATGGGAGTTAATTAAGAATTTACGTAGTACGTGTCCTCGGGGCAAATGTTTAAAAAAAATCAAAAAAGACTGTTTTCTTCTAAACTAACAAACAACTCGTTAAATCCCACTGTACAGTAAAAAATGAACAAAACAATCTCATTACTTCACATGACCTTAAATGGTAAATGGTAAATTAAATTGATTTAAACTTTCTACTTGATCCCAAACCAGAAATTTTCCAAATTTCCCTATTCTTTAACTAGTGCTCTAGTAGGGGCCTGATCAATTCCTGATAACACCCTCATTAGAGCCCTATTTAAAATAGTTTTTTTTTTTAATATTTCACTATTATTAATAACTAAAATCTAAGTATATAATTTCAATAATAATTTAAAGATAAAGAGCAAAAAAAATGTTAAGTAGGGGTATAACAAGGGCCTAACCAGTTCCTGACAAGGCCCTTAATACAATCCTATTTTAAATAGACCAAAAAGGGTCAATTTAAAGAAAAAAATTCCGACACTCATGTGGGATCGAACGCCGAAAATTTGGGAAAAACATATAAGTTACCACGCAGCCACGGTAACTACGCGAAACATTATTTGTTCCTACAATTTTTAATTTTAATTCTTTGCTTTAATAGTAAATTAAAAAATTTTCTTTTCTTCACAATAATAACCCGGGCAGAAATTTTTCCAGTTTGCCCAACTTAAAATAGGACTTTAGCAGGGGCCTTACCAGAAATTAGAAAAACTAGTCAGACCCTTGCCAAAGCCCCATTTCAAGTAGGACAAACTAGGAAAATTTCTTCACAAAAACAATAACAATGTTTAATATTAAAAATAATATTAACAGTAATAAAAATAACAATAATAACAGTAATAAAAATAACAATAATAATAAAGTAATAACAGTTATGATAATAACAGAAATAAAAGCTAAGCACACTTTAAAAATATATTCCAAGAAACAGCAAAACTAATAAGAAAAAAAAATTCTTCCAGTCAAAGCTGTCTACTTTACATGGGACTGCAAATAGCATCGGGTATGAAGTTTCTGGAATCGAAAAATCTAGTGCATAAGGATTTGGCGGCGAGAAATTGCCTGCTAGGACGAAATTACACCGTAAAGGTGACAGACATCGCAATGTGCAGTGACCTTTATAAAAAAGACTACAGCGACATAGGTGGACGACCCTTGGCTCCAATCAGATGGCTCTCGTGGGAAAGTATTTTATTGGTACGTTATTGAGTAAATTGTCAATTCGATTCCTTTTAATCAATATAAATACACACACACGCACGCACATACGCACATATTTTTTTTCCTTTCCTTTTTTTCTATAATCACATTTAATCGTTTCACATTTCAGGATAGATACACCTGTCCAAGTACCGTTTGGTCGTTTGCTGTCACGTTATGGGAAGTCATGAGTTTTGCGCGGGAAAAACCATTTCAACATCTTTCCAATGAACAAGTGATACAAAATGCTGAACTCATGTATTATGGAGAGGAATTACAAGTATATTTCTTTTTAATTTATAATCATTTTTTTTATGCTTTTGTACAATTTTTGTATAATAATAGGGTAATCAGGGTTGCCACAAATATTTAATTTAATTTTTCCTGATGACTTTTCCCTGATATCCAGACTAAATTTTCACTTTTTCCCTGACCCCAAAGAATATTCTGATTCACTCTAAAAATTTCCTTGACTTTTCCTTGATTTCCAAACAAAATTTTCACTTTTTCCCTGACTCTAAAGAATATTCTGATTAACTCTAAAAATTATTAGATACTCAAAAAAAATGTTCTATTACTTTTATTCACAAATTTCTTTAATAGTAAAATTATTCGAAAACATCAATAACTTATTTTTTTAAATAAATATTCAATCATTATTATTTTTTCGTAGGAATTAAAATTCTTTAAAACATTCAAATTTAAACCTTTTTTAAATTCAACAACTTATAAAAATATTATTGCAAAACATGAAGAAGGCGATCATTCCGAGTCTTCGACTCAAAGTGATCTCCTTCTTCATGTTTTGTAATAATTTAAATTCCTATAAAATTTTTCAAAAAAAGTTAATTATTTACAAAACTTCTAATAACATCCTTCGCAAGAATTCAATTATTTTTACAAGTAGTAAAATTTCTCAAAAAAATTCAATTATTTAAATAAAATTTAATAAAATTCATTGCAAGAATTCAATTATTTTCATAAATAATAAATCGATTATTCGGTAATTCATTTTAAATCAATTCTTATTAGAAAATTCTAGTAGAATTCAATTTTTTAAATTAAAAAATAAATAATTTATTGAATAATTGAATATTTGTTAAAATTAAATTCTTATAAAGAATTTTATCAACAAATTTGTAATTAATTAAATTCGTTTGACAAATTTTAATAAATTTTTTAAGAATAATTACATTTTTCGAGGAATTCGATTAAAATTGTATCAAAAATAATTAAAATCCTGCGATGAGTTTTATTATTTATGAAAATAATTAAAATTTTCCCAAAAATTTTATTAAAATTTTTTTTACAGAATTGAATTTTTCGAGGAATTGAAATTAAATTTTTAAGAATAATTACATTTTTTGAGTAATTCCTGTAAAATTATATTTAAAATAATTGAAATACTGCGATGAATTTTATTACTTTTGAAAATAATTGAATTCTTTCAACGAATTTTATTCAAATTTATAAAAATAGTAACTAAAATTCTGTGAAAAATTTTATTATTTATAAAAATAATAGAATTTTTGAAAAAAACTTTTTTAAATTTTTTTAAAATAATTGAATTTTTTCGACGAATTTTATAAAAATCTTTTTAAATAATTGATATTTTTTGAAAAATTTTATGAAATTAAGTATTTTAAATAATCGAATTCGTGTGAAAATTTTATTACTTATGAAAATAATTGAATTCCTGTGAAATTTTGACAAAAATTTTATTAAAATTTTTGAAAATAATTGAATTTTGGAGAAGCATTTTATTCTTTATAAAGTTAATTGAAATTTTTACGAGAATTTTTCTTTAATTTTTGAACAAAATTGAATTTTTGCGAAGAATTTAATTAAAAAATATTTAAAAAAAATTTTTTTTAATAATTACTTTTAAAAGTAATTAAATTCTTCCAACGAATTTTATTCAAATTTATAAAAATAACTAAATTTCTGTGAAGAATTTTATTATTTATATAAATAATTGAATTCTTGCAACGAATTTTACGCAAGTTTATAAAAATAATTCAATTTCTGTGATAATTTTATTATTTATAAAAATAATTGAATTCTTTAAAAGAACATTGTTAATTTTTTTAAAAATAATTGAATTCTTGCGACGAATTTTATAAAAATCTTTTTAAATAATTCGTGTAAAAATTGTATTACTTATGAAAATAATTAAATTATTTCGAAGAAATTTATAAAAAATTTTGTAAATAATTGATTTCCTGTGAAATTTTGACAAGAATTTTATTAAAATTTTTTTAAATAATTGAATTTTGAAGAAGTATTTTATTATTTATAAAGATAATTGAAGTTTTGACAAGAATTTTTAAAAAAATGTTGAACATAATTGATTTTCTGCGAAGAATTTTTATAACTTTTGAAAATAATTGAATTTCTGTATTTGTTACTAAAATTCTTCTATAAATCTATTATTTATGAAAATTGTAAAAATTATTTATTACATAATTTATAGGTCATAATTTTATGATGGTTCTTGAAAAATTAAGTTATTTAGAAAGAAATTATTGTCACAAATAGAAAAAATTTAGTTTATGAGTCAAACAAAAAAAACATCAAAATTCAGAGTTTTCTCAGGAATTTTAAAAATTTAATTTTTTCCAGTAATTTTACGAAAAATCCCTGACTTTTCTCTGATTTCCCTAACCAATTTTACTTTCCCTGACTTTTCCCTGAATTACCTGACATCCCTGACCTGTGGCAACCCTGGTAATTTATAAGAAAACTAAAAATGCCTTCACCAGTTTTTTCCTAATTCTTCCTAGAATTTTCCCTATAAATAGACGACTATTTCGATAGAGCACAAGTTACTTTAGCCCATATTCCAATTTCTACACAAATTTTTCTTGCCATCCCCAAAAAACTAATTAACTTTTTTTTCAAATTCAAATTAATTTCAGGTCTTTTTGCCAAAACCAATGATGTGTCCCGAGGACGTTTACAAAGTGATGTGTTCCTGCTGGCAAAGAGATGAAGACGAACGACCAACTTTCAAGGATATATATGCATTCCTAAAGACTGTAACTGACTACCGACCCAATGCATAATCATAGTTGACTGTGATAAAAACAAAAAAAAAATTCTCTACATTTCAATTCAAAACGAGATTTTAATTACAAACAAATCAGTAAGAAGCAAAATTTCCCCAAAAAAAAAATATTTTTTTCTTTCCACAATCAAACCCAATTACCCAAACTATAACTATTTTTCATTTAATATTTAGTCTGGACTAGATAAATTTACATGTAATTAGAAATTTAAAAAAAAACAACTAATTTTATTTCTAGTCTCTAGAAAAAAAAACCATAAGTTCATATTCTCGTAAATTGAAATAAGTGTACAATCGTTAAGTTTAATCGTATGAGATATTTTATACTATTTTATGCTTCCAAAAAAAGAGAAAAAAAAGAATAACAAAATACGAGAGATTATTATTTTGCAAATTCTAGTCACATCGACAATTTTTTGATTTTAATAATAATAAGATAAGCGACACATTCTGTACAGTATTCTTAGTAAATGACAAATGCAAAATGTACACACTATATATTATGGAAGCCTGTATTTAATATGATAAGTCTCATGTACATATTTTCCCAATCAACACACAAAAAAAAAGAAAGAAAAAGAACTTTATGACGATAAATTGTAAATGTTCGGGGTCAATAATTTATTGTGTATTTAAAATAAAAAATAAAAGTAAGTCTGATAGATATAATAATAAGAAAAAAAGTATCTCTTCCGCAGATACAAAATATTCTATTTAGAGAGAAAAAAGAACAAAAGTCATTTAGGATTTCAAGCCAACTTTTAAAATTTATATCCTGCTATATGCCAATACGTCACTTTTATCACAATCAATCGTTTTTGCATTTTACACAATTCATCTTTTCTGCTGATACTCTTCTCTACAGGCGCGTCAAAAAATTTTTTGTCCGAATTTTCTTTTCACAAAAAAACCATAATTGATATTTTTTGTTGTTGTTTGCTTTTGCCAACAATCTTTTTGCATTAAATTACCAAATTTGCATATCACCTAATTTTTATTTCTTTACTTTTATTTTTTACCTATCTTCATTTTTTATTTTTCGTAACGAATTTAGTTAAAATATTAATTTAAATAAAAGTTTAAAAAATTAAATCAATTATTTTTTTTTCTAGTTTAACAAAATTTGTTTTTAACTGAATTGTTTTTTGACCGAAATGTCAATAAATAGAACTTTATAAATATTTGTAACGAATATTTGTAACAAAAATATTTGAATAAATAAATATTTGTAACAAAGATTTATTTATAACAAATGTATTTTCATAAATAAATATTGATAATAAAAATATTTGAATAAATAAATATTTGCAACAAATACTTATTTATAAAAAAAAAAATTATTAAAATATTTCTGTTGCAAATATTTGTTACAAATATTTATAAAAACTAATTTATTGTAAATAAATATTTCTTAAAAATATTTATTTATAACAAATGTATTAACCTAAATAAATATTTATTTATAACAAACATTTATTTACAACAAAAATATTTTTATAAATAAATTTTTGTAACAAAAATATTTGAATAAATAAGTATTTGCAAAAAATATATTTGAATAAATAATTGCAACAAATAATTATTTGTAAAAAATGTATTTGCATAACTAAATATTTATAACAACAAACATTTATTTGTAACAAATAATTATTATTAGAGTCAATTAAATAGTATTTGTTCAAAAAAATATTAAATATCGAAATACAATTTATTTTACCCCAGTAAAAATTATTCACTTCAAATAAATAATTATTTAAAATTAATTAAAAATAACTTCCCAAGACAACCATTTATACTACCAAAGATTTAAAAAAAAACTTACTTTTAGTAAAAACAAATTGCAATATTCGTTTTATCAGAACTGCAGTAATTACAAAGAATTAAAAATTTACAAGAAAAAACAACAATCTAAAGAACTTTTATTGACACAAGAAATGTTGTTGACTCTAAACATTTCAGGAAACTGAACCTGTATATTACAGTAGCTTGAAATCCTAACAAGTACTTATCACTCGATCATTATTATAATTATAAATTCTGTTCAGAAAAAAAGGTCATTGTTAATTTTTATCTTATCTTATTCACTTTCGTTTTTATATTTACCAACAGTCACGTGTCTTAAATTTTTTAATTGCACTTTTTCGATTTATATTTAATAAAAAGAATTTTGTTATAAACATTTTTACTAAAAAAAAATCTGCTAAAAATTTCGATTAAATAAAACTTTCTGATAAACATTTGCATTAAAAAAAACTTTTTGTTAAAAATTTCCATTAAAAAAAAAAACTTTCTGCTAAAAACTTTAATTGAAAAAAAATTTCTGCTAAAAATTTTCACTAAAAAAATGAGAACGCAAATTACATAATTTTGTTTCTAAAAAAAAATTTAGAGGACGCGAATGAAGATAAGAAAAAAAGAGTACCTTCAATGTGACGGACAAATACACCTTTTTTTCGTTTTATTATTATCTTCACTCAATTTCCTACATTGAGAATAATTTTTTTTTCTCATATATCACATATCTATTTATATATTCGACCCATTTCTCTATTTTTATCCCCTCATTATTTATTGTAAATATACATTATTTTCCCCATATTATCATCTACTATTTAAAAAGAAAGAATAAAAAAACCTACGATTCACGTACATTTTGAAATTGCAAAAACAAAAAACAAAATTGTTTTCAAAAAAAATTTCGTTAATTTTCATTAATGACATTCATATTTGCAATAAATTATAGTACAATTATTATTAATTATTAATTCACTGATGTAAAAAGTATACAGTAATAAAAATATTTAAAAATACAATGAAAGAGAATTTTTTTATCCCTAACAATGAGAAAATAAATTTTTTTTAATTTTTGTTTGCTTCAAATAAATTTTGATTTAAATTAAATTTTATTATCTGCAAAAAAAATTGTATTTGTTTCAAATAAATTTTATTTGGTTCAAATAAAAACTATACTTCTCTGGAATAAAACATTTATTTTAAAAATTGTATTCCAAATAAAATATAAAATGCAAAGTATGAAAATAAAAAATGCAAATAAAAAACAACAAATCAAAAATGCAAATATTAATATTTGCTCTTTGGATAAAATTGAAAATAGATTCAAATATCTCGAAAGGATTCAAAACTTTTAGGATGGTATATATCTTAAGAGCTTGACAGAGAATCCGCAAGATGACTCGCCCACTCTGTTATAAATATCATCTTATATATTATCTCCAGAGGTACTGTTGATAACGATAACAATCAATTAACATTACCTATTTTATTTCCGGGGAATTCCCCTATTTTACCTTCCAATATGAAAATAATTTTTGTTTCTACAAAATCACGAAAAATTACAATAAATTCCAAAAAAAGAAAATTTAACAAAGTTTATTATTTAAAAAAAATCAATACGTTTCAATAACAAATTATAACAAAAAGCTTTTTTGTAAACATCAACAACAATTGTCATAACAATCATGATAATATAAAAAAAATATTTTTTTCCCACAAAAAATAGAGTGAAAAAAAATTATGTTCAAAATATTTGAAGATAAAAAATTGTCATTGTTTATATACGATATATATATTTGTTACAGATACTTCCTCATAGGAGGAAGCAATTTGAAATATTGAAGATAAAAAATTGTCATTGTTTATATACGATATATATATTTGTTACAGATACTTCCTCATAGGAGGAAGCAATTTGAAATATTGATGACTTTTATTCTCTAAGGAATTCCCCGATATATATGTATGTATGTTTAAGTAAGGTCAACAAAGAAAGAAATATGTTGAAAATCCCCTGGTAGACACGGTAATGTTAACTTTCTTATTAAGAAGTTCAAACATAAAAAAAAATTCTTTTTTCTCGCAATTCTCCAGGTAAATATAATTATCATCAATTTATTTTTATTTTCAAATTAACGAATTTTTTACTAATTAAACAATAGATTGCGTTAAAAATTATTTTCCATTTAGAGAAAAAAAACACCAGAAGTTGTTAAACTTCTTGTGTTTTTTTCTCTAAATGTCAAAATTATTTAAAATAATTTATTTTTGTAAATAAATAAATAAACCAAATAAACTATTAAAAATAATTTCTGGTATTTTTTTAAGTGAAAAGGAGAAAACACCAAAAGTTTATCAACTTCTGGCGTTTTTTTCTCCAAATGGCAAAACTATTTTATAAATAATTATTTGTTGTTTATTCTAGTAAATAAATAATAACTAAGACAATTTCTTGTGTTTTTAATGGCAAAATTATTAAAAAATTACAGAATATTCTATTCTATTTTTAATTATTGACAAATATCTAGAACTGGAAATTTAGTAATTTTATAGATTAAATTATAAATTTCAACTGAAATGTTTCAAAAAATTTTTATATTAAAAATTTATAAAACATTAAATTTATAAACAAATGATAAAATTAAAATTATAAAGAAAAAATTAATTGAAATTTATATATATAAGCAAAGAATTTTAATTAAATTTTCCAAGCAAAGTATAAAATTTAATTTATAAACAAGAAATATTATTAAATTTACAAGCAAGGAGTAAAATTAAATTTAAAAACAAATGAAATTTAATTTACAAACTAATAAAATTCAATTTACAAGTAAATAAATTTAGTTTACATACTGTTAAAGTAAGAATATTTTATTTTCATATTGGAGAGGTATTTTTTCCCTTTGAATTTTTGGTTTTTCCCTTGTTTTGTACCCAAGATCTTGTCTTATTGTTCCCTTCCTTGTAATTTAGTTATAAAAAGCTTAGTTTGTCTGATGTATGAAAATATCCTAAAAACGTGCTTAAAAGAGTGTCTAAGCTGTATTGCTGCAATAAAACTTTATAGACGGATTTGTAAATTGCAAAATGTGTGCACCATCGGGTGATCCAACGATAAGTCCTGGGGTACGGACAGGGCAGGTAGGGCCAGAGAAGGGCTCTGTAACCGTTTGAGTTCGGCAGTCTCGTTCTGTACGCCGAACCAAAAAGATTGTAATTTTGGGTGGTCTAAGTACAGAAAGAATATACTCAATATTTCTAACATAAAACTGGTTTCACAATTATTTATGTTTATCACTAAAGTCCTCCTTTTCCTTAATTCAACAATTGGCGACCGTGACAGGACACGTGAGGATTAAGTGATAATTTTAATCGTGAAAAGTAAATTGGGTTTATTCTTGTTTTTTTCAAAATGGATAAATTGAAAAGAAAAAGGACCACGCATCGGGCGGCGTTTTCCAGAGCTTTAAACACGCTCAACGAGGCTCTTAGTGAATCCACGGATAAAAAGAAGATTGTTTTGTCTTTTCAAAGTTTAGAAGAGGCGATGAGTGAATTGACAGTGACGACTAATGAATATCTGGATATTTTATGTGACACGCCAGAGATAGTGCAAGAAGTTATCGATGAAGAACAGTTTCAGGTAGATAGCTATAAGAAAAAATTCCTTGAAGCAAAGTTTTCAGTGTCCGAACTTCAATCTGAAAGGTCAGTCAATCAATCTTTTCAAAGAGATGGTTCCACTGCATCAAGTGATATCAAAAGAACTTACAAACTGCCAACAATTGAATTAGTGAAGTTTGGTGGAGATGTGCGTGAGTGGTTACATTTTTGGAGTATGTTTAAAAAGATACATGAGGACTCCGACATTGTAAAGGAGGATAAGTTTCAATATTTGAAACAAGCCATGGTAATAGGATCCCGTGCTGATATGTTAGTGAAAAGTTTCCCTCCTACCGCGGAAAACTATGATAAAGTGATAGACAGTTTAAAAAACCGTTTTGGACGCGAAGACTTACAAATCGAAGTGTATGTAAGAGAGCTCTTACAGTTAGTTTTAAAAAACGCAATATCCCAAAACAAAAATATTGTTTTATCTAGTTTATATGATAAGCTTGAGTCTTATTTGAGGTCTCTTGATTCATTAGGAGTTACCACAGATAAATGTGCTGCTATGCTTTTCCCTCTCGTTGAATCTTCATTACCTGAAGAATTGTTACGTGCATGGCAGCGAAGTAATCTCTCTACATCGCAAGAAGCTAATGTTCAGGCAAAGGACAGACTCACTCAGCTTGTTAAATTTTTGGAAGGAGAAGTGCAAAATGAAGTGCGAATTTCAATGGCAGTGAAGGGATTCAATTTAAAACCAACTAACGAAGGTGATAAGCAAAGAAGAGATAAAGAGCGCAATAATAAAGATACTCCTAGTGCTGCAAGTTTGATGACTGTTAAAGGACACAAGAAACAATGTGTATTTTGTGAATCTAGTGACCACGCTAGTGCGGCATGTGATAGTGGAAAGAAGATGACTTACGAGGAGATAAGAGAAATCGCGAAGAAAAAGAACTGTTGTTTTAAATGTTTAAATATCGGTCACTCATCTTTCAAATGTCGTGTATTTTTAAAATGTGATAAGTGTTCTCGACGACATTTAACAATTATGTGTCCGGGAGATGATAAAAGGAAAGACAGTTCAAGTGACACAGTGAAAAATGAGTGCAATTTGGCTAGTTTTTGCAATGATCCGGAGGTTTTTATGCAAACACTACGTGTTAAACTTTTTAATGGACAAAGAGAAGTGATAGTTCGCGCTGTGATTGACACGGGTTCCCAAAGATCGTACATTACTAAACAAGCAGCGGCAAGGGTGGGCTATGAACCAATAGCCGAACAATTGGTTAGTCACTCGTTATTTGGTGGTGAAAGGTCCGATGCTGAATTGCATAAAAGATATCTCATTCATCTACGCAGTTTGGATGACAATTACGCGTGCAATTTTCGTACATTAGATCAGAGTGTGATATGTGAAGATGTTCCGTCAGTAAAAAATGGAGTTTGGATTAACGAACTAAGGAAGTTAGATGTCGAAATTACGGATACTGAGAGAACGAGTGAACCTGTTTCTATTCTTATTGGTGCAGATGTTGCAGGAAAATTATTTACTGGTCAACGCCATGTATTAGAATGTGGATTAGTAGCTATGGAAACTAACCTTGGTTGGACGTTAATGGGTTCGGTGCCAAATGAGAAAAAACATAAAGATGCTGTCATGATTGCAACCAACATGTTCGTTCGTAACGCGAACATATCTGATCTCTGGTCTTTAGATGTTTTGGGAATTAAAGACCCTATAGAGATTAAAAGTCAAAAGGAACGAGAAAAGGAAATAAAGGAAACTTTTTTAAATTCAGTGAAAGTAAACGACGAGAAAAGATATGACGTCAAATTACCTTGGATAAAAAACCACCCGGATTTGAAGGATAATAAAGGCGTGGCTGTTCGACGACTACAAAACACAATAAAGAAATTAAAGAACGATGAACTATTAGAAGAGTACAATGCTGTATTCGAGGAGTGGGAAGCAGAAGGGATCATTGAACGTGTACCTGAAGAAGAAAAGGATAATTGGGGACATTATTTGCCGCATCGACATGTCGTTAAGGAAAATAGCACTACAACGATTCGGCCAGTATTCGACGCCTCGGCTAAAGATCTTCATTTTCCATCATTGAATGATTGTTTGGAGAAAGGCCCTAATTTGATAGAGCATGTTTCATCGATTCTCCTACGCTTCAGACAAGGTAACATTGGTATAATTTCTGATATAAAAAAGGCCTTTTTACAGATAAGCATTGATGTAAATGATCGAGATTATTTAAGATTTTTATGGTATGATAAGGATGGCAATGAAATTATTTTTCGTCATTGTAGAGTAGTTTTTGGTGTTTCGAGTAGTCCATTCATTTTAGGCGCAGTCATCGAAATGCATTTATGTACAATGATAGAGTCTTTGAAAAATAATAATGATTTAAATTTTGAGCTGTTAAACCTCGAAAAATTTAAGAGTAGTTTTTATGTTGATAACTGTGTGACGAGTGTGAATTCTAGAGAACAATTAAATTCATTTGTCCGAGATGCAAAAACAGCGATGGAGATGGGCGGTTTTGACCTTCGTGGGTGGGAGTATAGTAAAGATAACACTCCCGAAAATCGAGTTGCAGTATTGGGAATAATATGGGATAAAGAAAGTGACGTATTAACGCTTAATGTACCTTCCCCTGAGAAACTTTTAAATGAAAAAATAACAAAGAGAAACATTCTCTCCATTACGCACAAAATTTTTGACCCCCTCGGTTTCGCATCGCCAGTGGTTTTGTGTCCGCGATTATTATTACAAGAGACGTGGGCTTTGAAAATGTCATGGGACGAAGAAGTTAATGAACAAATTAAGACTAAATTTATTAAATGGGCGTCTAGTTTAAAGGATCTAAATGGGATTGAAATTCCGCGATGTTTTCTCGGTGAGGAATCTAACACTGATAATATAAGCCTTCACACGTTTTGTGACGCAAGTAAACTTGCTTACGCAGCCGTTGTTTTTTTACGTATTGAAAATGCTAGTGGTGTCAAAGTTTACTTTGTACAGTCTAAATCACGCGTTGCTCCTATAAAAGGAGAAAATTCTGACTCACGTGCGAGTATACCGAGATTAGAGTTATTAGCAGCTAGTATTGGTGTCAGATTAACCACTTCTATTATCGATTCCCTCAAGTTTGAAAATATTCAAACTTATTACTGGACCGATTCGTCTACAGTTCTTGCTTGGGTTTGTCGTGGGTTAAATTGGTCAACGTTCGTTTGGAATAGAGTTAAAGAGATCCTTACCTATACAAGTCCCAAACAATGGAGACATGTACCTGGACCTTTAAATCCTGCCGATCTACCCTCGCGCGGTTGTACGGTAAGATCCCTTTTGTCATCTCAATGGTGGGAGGGACCAAATTGGTTAAAATTAAGTGAGAAAGATTGGCCTGCAAATTAATTTTCTATTAATGAAGATGAGGTAAATAAAGAATTAAAGAAATCTGCATGTCGCGATATTTTGCGGGAAACGACTTTGTTAACTTCGATGCAAGGAAAACTTGAAATAAATAAATGTTGGTATTCTGGGAGATTTTCGTGTTACACAAAGGCATTACGCGTTCTAGGCTGGATATATAGGTTCCATTTTAATTGCAAACACCTTCCCGTAGAACAAAAGAAGGGCAATTTGTCATTTTCGGAGATAGAACAAGCAACAAAATTTTTAATCAAGGTTGTTCAAAATGAAAGTTTCTCTGACGAAAATGATAAATCCATTCAGCATTTTCAACCCTTTAAAGATAAAGACGGAATAATGAGAATAAAGACGAAAATAATTCTCCGGGATGATACTGAAAATTTTCGATGTCCCATTCTTTTACCCAACAAACATGAGATTGTAGATTTGATTATTAAAGAGAAACACGAAAATCTAAATCATGCAGGTGTAGAAATGACAATGAGTTCCGTGAGAGAAAATTTTTGGGTTTTAGGGGGTCGGAAAACAATTAGGTCGGTCATTAAGAAATGTATAAATTGCCAACGACACGATTCGAAACCACTGGAGACTCCTCCTGCAGTTTTACCTCTGGATAGAATAAGAGACGCTATGATTTTTGAAATAGTAGGTGTAGATTTTGCTGGGCCGATTTACTTAAAAGATGGTAGTAAAGCATGGATTTGTTTGTTTACCTGTGCAATATACAGGGCGGTGCATTTGGAGTTAGTTACGTCACTTTCTACAGCTACCTTCCTAATGGCTCTAAGACGTCATATTGCGCGTCGGGGTAAGCCGAGCATTATATACATATAGCGATAATGGTACTAATTTTGTGGGAATGAACAAATTGATTAAAAGAGTAAATTTTGAAAAGGTCTCTGAAACCCTAGCTGTAAAAGAGATACAATGGAAATTTAATCCTCCTACTGCAGCTTGGTGGGGGGGATTTTGGGAACGTCTTATCGGAATTTTAAAACGTTTATTACGTCGAACTCTTAAGAGAACTTGCTTAAATTATGAAGAAATGTTAACAGTGCTTTTAGATTGCGAGGCCGTAATAAATTCTAGGCCTATCACTTTTATGTCGGAAAATGAACATGATATCGTACCGCTTACTCCATCCATGTTTCTGCAGGAAGTAAAAGAAATAGGTGTGATTGAATTAGACGAAATTGAAAAGGTTCAATTTGAAAAACGTTATTTGTATAGACAAAAAGTAAAGGATGATCTTAGACGCAGGTTTCGTAGTGAGTATTTAGGCGCATTATCGAATCAATCAACACGACAACAGAAATCTAATAAAGTTGTAAATATAGGCGACCTTGTTTTGATAGGCAGCGAAAATGTAAAAAGAATTAATTGGCCGTTAGCTCGTGTTAAAAATATTATTTTCGGAAAAGATAATATTGCACGACTTGTACGCTTAATTACTAAGAATGGCGAATTGATACGACCTGTTCAGCGAGTTTACCCGTTGGAGCTTCAACAACATACTAGTATGAAATCGCATTATAATGAAATTGTTATTGAGAAGCTTGAAAATAATAAACAGCGGAATGAGTCAAAGAATGTCGAAATGCATATGGATGATTTAAATTTTGAAAACAATGATAACAAGATTGTTACAACGAAGAGTGGAAGAGTTGTGAAAAAACCGAATCGCCTTATGTATGGGTAAAGTAATTTGATTCTGATTTTGTATGAATGTAGAATTGAGATGAATTGTATTAGTCATCTCAATGGTGGGAGGATGTTAAAGTAAGAATATTTTATTTTCATATTGGAGAGGTATTTTTTCCCTTTGAATTTTTGGTTTTTCCCTTGTTTTGTACCCAAGATCTTGTCTTATTGTTCCCTTCCTTGTAATTTAGTTATAAAAAGCTTAGTTTGTCTGATGTATGAAAATATCCTAAAAACGTGCTTAAAAGAGTGTCTAAGCTGTATTGCTGCAATAAAACTTTATAGACGGATTTGTAAATTGCAAAATGTGTGCACCATCGGGTGATCCAACGATAAGTCCTGGGGTACAGACAGGGCAGGTAGGGCCAGAGAAGGGCTCTGTAACCGTTTGAGTTCGGCAGTCTCGTTCTGTACGCCGAACCAAAAAGATTGTAATTTTTAGGTGGTCTAAGTACAGAAAGAATATACTCAATATTTCTAACATAAAACTGGTTTCACATTTATTTATGTTTATCACTAAAGTCCTCCTTTTCCTTAATTCAACACATACAAACAAAATTTAATTCTCAAAAACAAATAATAAGTAAAATAAAGTAATAAACATTGTTAAATAGCAAATGGAAAAAACTAAATTTAAAATGCAAAAAAAATTACATCAATTATATTCAATTGACTCATTGTTAACAAATATTTTCAATAAACTCGTTTGTTTACAGAAATATTTAAAACAATTACAACAAAGTTTCTAATAAAAGTTTTCAATTTACATTAAAGATAAATTACAGAAAAATATATTTTTCGATGTATTTCCTACTATTTTTAGTCATTTTTCAATAGAAATTTAATAAACAAAATAAATTATATCAATACTAAATAAAATAATTTTTTATCACCAAAAACTAATTTCAATTAGCAATTAATTTTCCACTAATTAAGATTTTAAAACAACGTTTTCAATTCTTCACTTTAATTATAATTATAATAAACAATTCAAAAACTAAAATCTTAATCTAATTTTCTATTTATTCCAGTAAAAAAAATTCAATAATTTTACAGTAGAATTTTAAATATTTTATTTAGCAGTTAATAATATTTTAGTACAGAAAAAAACTAAAAAATAGTTTAGAAATACTTTTTTATTCTAAATTATTTTGTAATATTTTAGTGCAATAATTATTTCAACAATCACTAAATAAATAATCATTGCAACAATTAGTACACTAAAATAATATAATTAATTTAGAATAAAAAATTTTTTCTGAACAATTTTTTAGTTTTCTTTGTACAAAAATTTTGTAGTAGAAAAAAATTAACTGATAAAGAAATTATACATAAAATTCTACTGAAAAATTGTCGAAATCTTTTACTAGAATAAATACAGAACTTTTAACTAAATTAGATTGAGAGTTTAATTTTTTAATTAATTATTATATTTATAATTTTTATTCTAAAATATTTTAAATAATTTAGAATACAAAATTATTTATGAACTATTTTTTAGTAATTTTGTACTAAAATTTTGTAGTAGAAAAAAATTAATAGCTAAATAAAATAGTTAAAATTCTACTAAAAAATTAGCGAATTTAACTAAAATAAATAAAGAATTTTGTAATAAATTACAAATGGGGAGTTCAATTTATGAATTCTTTATTATAATTATAAATACTTAATAATAAAGGGTGCTTGTAATATTATTAATTAGTATTTATATTAATATTATTATATTACTTTCTAAATTAAAATTAGTAGAAACATTTACTAATTTAACTTAGGTCCTGTCTATTTGCCTTTGAATTAGTAAATTTTACTAATAAATTAGTAGAAATTACCATTCATTAGTAAAATTTTACTAATAAATTAGTAGAAATTACCATTCATTAGTAAAATTTTACTATTAGTAAATTTTACTAATAAATTAGTAGAAATTACCATTTATTAGTCAAATTTACTAATTCAAAAACAAAAAATCAGTCACCAATTCGAATTAGTAATAATTTTTACTAATTAAAATCCAGAGTAATATTAACATTAAAAATTAATATATTTTCAAGCTAACAGTACACATCACTAGTTAAAATTCAAAGAGAAAATTAATTATCCAAAAAAAAGATCCCCTAATAAAATAACAAGAATGATGTTTCTATAAACATTCAACAGTTTTAATGTGTGGACATTAATTTTCCAATAATAAAATTAATTTATTATTAATGCGAATAACATATTGTAAAGTAAGAAGTGCATCGTAAATTAAAACGTGTGCTTGTTGGTGCTACCTGATAATGAAATACAAAACGTGATATGAGTCATCGGTTCTGATGAATATACGCAAGCGCGATCACTGTTACGACTACTAATACTATCGCAAAATTAAATTAACGTTTAAAACATACTGGATGAGCATCGTGTATATAATGGTTGCGAGACGAGAAAGTAATACCATTGAATCTTCGACTGTCAAGAACATAACTACCCAACAATGAGAACCGCAATATTATCATTAAACATTACTTTCTTCTTTCTACTTTGTATCTGCTATCTTCATTTAGGTAAGCAAAAAAAAAGCCGCCTCTCTTTTGAACATAATTTTTTTTTCTCTCATCATCGCTCATTTAATTAATATCCCAATTACTACTATTCAATTCACTGCAAGAAAAAATGTAAAATTATTGTATTTATTTTATTCATTCACGCATAGAAATTTTTTTTTTTTTCTAAACTTTTGTTTGTTTACTTTGATCAAAATGATAAGCGACTGCAATTTAATAATTATAGTAATTTTTTTCTAGTAGTTTTTTTGATTAAAGAATTCTTTTATTTTAATTAATATTTAATAGTTTACAACTTAATTATTTCTAATGAAGTAAATTTTACTTCTACTACTCTCTGAATTTGAATTAGTAAAAATATTCACTAATTTGAATTAGTGACTGACTTTTTGATTTTAAAATAGTAAACTTTACTATAATTAATAGTTCTTTCTACTAATTTATTAGTAAAATTTACTAATTCAACAACAAAAAGTCACTCACAGAAACCACTAAATTCTTATACCCTCTGACTCATCTCGATTACGAGAGAACTTTCATGCCATCTGGACGGTAACTGACAGAACTAAACTGGCGCGAAATTCAAAATTAATAAAACAAAAAAGCGATATAAGTGAAATTTATTAACAAATTTTGGTTTCAATATTGATTTAATAATTAAATCTGAGACTTGGCAGTGATTCGCAATCCAATTAACAATTAAATTGTTTTTAATGGAAATATTTCCCTAAAAATATTATATTTTACAGGAGAAGTAACGGCTGACGAAATATGCCCCAAAGAAAATTGTGTATCGCCCGAAAAATGTGAAAGTCTAATTAGAGGAAAGTCTCCTTCATGTGGAAATCAAAGAAAAGTATGCTGTAGTGTTGGTAAGTTTATTAACAATTTAAAATAAATATAATTTTCAAAATTAATAATACTAATTCTAATAATACTCTCTAAATTTAAATTAGTAAAATTGTATGCTAATTTAAATTTGTTACTGACTTTATGCTTTAAAATTATTAAATTTTACTAATAAATTAGTAGAAATTGCAATATAACTATATATTAGTAAAATTTACTAATTCAAAAGCAAAAAGTCTTTATTTACTTTAATAAATAATAAAAAAGTTTAATATGTAAATAATAATAATATATTTGTTTCAGTTAAAGACGAGTTTCGAACTCATTGCAGACATCATGGAGGTATCTGTATGAATCGATGCGCTCCTCAGATTCAAAGAGACACTACAGACTGTACTGACGGTCAAGTTTGTTGTGTTCTTGTTTAAACAATAAACTCAACAATCAAATAGGAAAAAGTATTACGTTCTTATAAATATAGTGCAAATAAACAATATCTTTTTTATATTGTTCTGTTATTAATAAACTTTTACGTTACAAGAAAACAAAAAAAACTGTCTTTTAATTTTCAACACTGCTTTTAATTTTATTAAGTTTTTAAAAATAATTTTAAAAAAATCGTCACCCATATTAGAAACGACATTTTGAATTTCTAATTCTAAAATCTAAATATTCAAATCTTTTATTCATCAATGACTAAATTAAAATCTTTAATAATAAAAGTACTAATAAAAATTCTTCTAAGTATTATCAAGTTCAAACTAGTAACAATTTAATTAATTATGCAATTATAATTATTTCAATAATATCTATATTAAACAATATAAATTTTGTTTTCTTATTTTTTTACTTTCTTTTCCCTTTGTGTTAAAAAATACACTTGTAATTCAAAAACAATTCCAATTTTACTTGTTAAATAAATTATCGTTAAAATAAAAAAATTATTGCTTTGAGTGTAAGACTTCCTTTTACCCCACCCTTATATTGTCAAGAGTAGGAAAAAAGAGGGATTAAAAAAAATAGTCTATAAAAGTTTGCGCGTGCCAAACAAGACACAGGAAACTGTCTTTTAAGAAGTAGATACTTAGCAAACTGGCTTCGAGAACACGTGGGAAAGTTGTCCCATTGTTCCTTGTATCTCTTCCAATAGCTTGTTTCCGTTCATCCTCTATAGTGTCTCACTGCATTGAGAAATTAAATAATTAAAGATTTACCTTTATCCCACTTTAAAAAAAACAATCTTTTTTATTTAATAAAAATTTTTCTAACAAACTTTATAAATTTATTTCTTTAAAACCGTATTATTGCAAAATATAATCCTCACTAAAAATTTTAATCTTTTTTCATTGAACGATTATTTTATTATTACTTCAATTTTTATTTTATTTATTTATTTATTAGGTAAAGATTTATCCCTAAATTCTGAACCTATTTCTTTCAAAAACTATTTTTCCAAAATTTGATTTCAATTTTTATTCTTTCACAAAATTTAAAGAAACCCCTTTTTTACAATAAACAAATAATGCTCTCTAAATTTGAATTAGTAAAAATGTTTACTAATTGAAGTTAGTGACTGACTTTTTGCTATTGAATTAGTAAATTTTACTAATAAATAGTAATTGCTACTAATTAATTAGTAAAATTTACTAATTCAAAAGCAAAAAGTCAGTCACTAATTTCAATTAGTAAACATTTTTACTAATTCAAATTTAGAGAGTGACGAATCAAAAGAAATACAAGGAATTTTTTCTATTAAGTACAACAATTTGTATAAAATTCAAAATGGCTAATTCAATATGGCAGCTCAAAATTTTTGAAGAATTTAAACTGAATCTAAATTAATAGAATGGTAAAGTATATTCTTGAATCGTTAACAGAGTATTTTTGATAATTTTGTCAATAATAAAATTTTACTAAATTTGAAAAAATAAAAAATTGCTAACTAAATTTTAGTACGTCCAAAATAAAGACTAATTTTAGTACTAAAAATAAAATTCCTATAATACTATGGAAATAATAAAATTTACTTTATAGTATACTTTTGCTCTATAAAATTACCGCATAAAAATTTTACTTTTACTCTATAAATTTACTGGATAGATAATTTTACTCTGGGATTAGTAAATTTTACTTATAAATTAGTAACAATTTATCAGTAAAATTTACTAAGTCAGAAACAATAAGTCAGTCACTAATTCAAATTAATAAACAATTTGATTGATTTATATTTAGATAGTACTTCCAATTTAAATTTTTGTTCTAAAATTATTATTATTTACTTCGGATTTAGTAAAATTTATTTCAGAAATAATAAAAAGTCAATCTAAAAATACTTAGAAATTACAAAAATTTTATATTCTACCACAAAAGAATAGTAAAACCAGAGAAAACATATATTTGTCTCACAGCCAAATAGAAATTTATTTGTTACAAATAAATGTTATTTGGTTCAAGAAAATTTTACTGTATTGAAATAAATTTTACTTGATTCATATAAATTTTACATGGTTCAAATAAATTTTACTTGTTTCAAATAAATTTTACTTAATTCAAATAAATTTTACTTGGTTCAAATAAATTTTTCTTGTTTCAAATAAAAATCCTATTTTCGCCTACAAAAAAACTTTATTTCTACAAAATACAATTTTTTTAAACATACAAAAAGTTCAACAGACTGTGAACCAAATATAAATACATTCAAAACAAACATATTATATTTAATTCAAAGAATACATTCGCCTGGATGTAATTCCACATTGCGTGATAAAATAAACGAAATAATTTTCAAAAAAAAGGAGAAACGAAACAAAACAAAATGAAACAAACTAAAAATTCTGAGAAATTAAGTTCTTTATATCTAGAAGAACAATTATTTTCCCGAGAGTTTGAACTTCCGCTCGTACCATCATCGTGTGCGACACTGTACCCCGAAATGCCTTGGGGCATTTTGCCTCGACCCACGTCCTTCCTGCCCCCTCCCCTCCTCACAATGCCCCACCTAACCTTCTGCATTCACCCATCACCGGAACAACGCGGCGTTCTCCTTCGCTGCATGATTCCAAGCCTAGCCTGAGGGAAAACGGGTACCTCAACGTCTGCCTGCATTGCCTTGGGCAAAAGACCTCTATCCTCCCTCCTCCCTTCCCTTTCTTGCTTCCTACACCCCTCATTTTAGCCCCCTTTCGCCCTGAAACCCTTTTTGCCATCTCTCACTCCTCAAACTCCTTTTCCTCTCTCTTTCTCTCTCTCTCTCTCAAACCACAGCATCGTCAACGCCACATCGAGCTCTCTTTTTTCCTTTACTACTTCTTCTTTCGTCTCTCGTTACTTGAGTCGACCTCTTGTCAACTGGCTACGGCTCGCCACGCTTCGGGCAATTTCTTCCCGGATTTTCGTTTACGGCACGTCGGCCCGAATAGATGTATATAGTATAGCCGCCAGTTGAGCAGTCGAAAGAAGAGACTCTGATGTCGATTACAATTCTATACGCAACCCTTCGGGTAAAAGAAAAAATGAAAATAAATATATATAGGTATCGAGGGATGGACATTGTTGTCATATTTTATTCGGACCAAGTTTTATGATACCCACTTTGTTTCATACACTTGAATCAGGACTCGAACCAGTAAAAGTATTTAAAAACACGGACTTTACGAGCCAAAAATGAAAAATTACACTGTAAAAAAATTATTTGATTTAATTAATTTTTATTTGGATCTAATAAATATTTATTTGATTCAAATAACTTGAATTATTTGAATCACATTTATTTGAATCAAATAAATCTTAATTGGGTCAATTAAATAATTAATTGACTCTAATAAATATTTATTAAATCCAAATAAAAATTATTTGAAACAATTAATTTATTTCACTCAATTAATTAAATTATTGATATAAATAAACATTATTTGACACAATTAATTTATTTTATCGCTTCAAGAAAACTGAATTATTTAAATCAAATAATACAATATTCAATGCGACTCTCAATTAAACGAACTTATTTTTATAGAAAATTTGGTCAGCGAAAGCGCGACTCACAATTAAACGAACTTATTTTTATAGAAAATTTGGTCAGCGGAAACGCGACTCACAATTTAAGGAAAATATTTTTATAAAAAGATCGAATCACCGTAGCTGCGTGGTAACTCACATGCGTTATGTCTCCAAGGTCTAGGGTTCAATTCCACATGCCTACGAATTTTTCATTTTTATAAAAAGTGCGGTCAGCGAAAGCGCGACTCACAAAATTTTTGATAATAATCATTAGGGTATTATTTGGTAACATATTGTTAATTTTCATTCGATAACAGTTAAGATAATTAAAACTCAAGGGAACATAAACATGGAAAATGTATTATAAAATTAAATACGGTTAATAGCCTCGTTATAAGCTATTAGCGGGGAAAAACAGTAAACTCACCGTTTGCTATTAAACGGAACACCCGAACCTGACCCTCACGCAGCATCCAGAGGTTGACAGAATCCCTGCATTTAAAAATTGATACTTCTGGAACTACCAACATGGGAATTGTTCTCTATTTATTATTTTCTTTATTCATTACATATTTATTTATTATTTCTTTACTAATAGAGTTATTTTCAATTACCCTATATTTATTAACAAAGTTATATTCACTTGCAGTGTTTGTTAATGAATTTAATGAATTCTGTTACTATATATATATATATATATATATATATATATATATTTTAATTATATTCCATTATTTATATTTTATATTATATAAATTTTTAATGTTATTATGGATGTATGGATAGATGGATGAATGGATCCAATCATACATTTTAAAAAACAAAACAGGGTTGCCACAAACATAGACAAAATTTTGCCTTCTTCCCTCACCCTAAAGAATATTCTGATTCACTCTAAAAATTATTAGACACTCAAAAAAATGTTCTATTATATTTAATTACGAATTTCTTTAATTATAAAATTATTCAAAAAACACCAATGACTTCATTTTTAAAAAAAATATTTATTTATTATTATTTTTCGATTTTCAAGAATTTTAAATTTAAACCTTTCGAAATTCAATAACTGATAAAAATATTTATTTATTTATTGAATCATTGAATTTATTTTAAAATTGAATTCTTATACATAATTTTATGAACAAATTTTTAAAGAATTGAATTCTTTTGACGAATTTTAATAAAATTTTTAAGAACAATTACATTTTCCAAGGAATTTGATTAAAATTGTATTAAAAATAATTGAAATTTTGCAATGACTTTTATTATTTATGAAATTAATTGAATTATTGCGAAGAATTTTATAAAAAAAAGTTTCAAACAATTGATTTTTTTCAAAAAAAATGTATGCAAGTTCTGTAGAATTTTATCAAAATTTTTGTTTAATAATTGAATTCTTTTGGAAAATTTGATTAAAATAGTAGAATATCGAAAATCATTGAATTAAGAAAAATTTTAAAAAATATATGAAATTTTGCCATGAATTTTATTAAAGTTTTTGAAAATAATTGAATTCTTGTGATGAATTTGTTATTTATGAAAATAATTGAATTTTTCAATGAATTTTATAAAAATTTCTGAATATAATATATATTGCTATTTATAAAGATAATTGAAATTAAAATTTTTTAGAATTCGTAGTAATTTCATAGTTGATGAGGCAAACAAAAAGACAAAAATTCAGTATTTTCTTATAAATCTCTAACTTTTCCCTAAATTCCCTGACTTGTGGCAACCCTGCAAAAGTATAAATAGAATTATAAATTTAAAATATAAAATTGAAAATAGAATTATTAAAATTAATTCCAATCTGATTTTCATAATAAATAAATATTAATAAATTAAGAATATAATAAACACTTTTGATTTAAAAGAAAAATGGAATAATAAAAACATTTTTTTATACAATGTACAATGAAATTCACAAAAATATAAACAATATAAAATGAAACAACACAGTGACGAAAAAAAAATAAAAATTACATGCAAAATATATTTTTACTGGTCCTCCAGTGAGCACACTGCGTGACACGCAGGTGTGTGGCTTGTGTGTGTGAGTGTTTCGCAATTATTTTCCGAATTTCCCTATCTACCAAATTATTTAACACGAAACGAAAATTTATTTTACTGAATTTTTTTCCGGATTTCCCTACCTACCAAAATATTTAAACACGAAACGAAGTTTTATTTCCTTTTGAAAATTTTTCCCGGATTTTCCTACCTAACGCAATATTTAACACGAAGCAAAAATTTATTTTACTGAATTTTTTCCGGGTTTCCCTGCCTGCCATATAGTTTCTTTAACACGGCGAAGAAATTTCGAAAAAATCTATTCTATTCGGACGGTTTTTCCTACATCGCCCGGGTGCAAAAAACCTAATTCTAGGGATTTAAGGGGCACGTTAGGCTCACCCATACGTCCCGGGACGCATCCGTCACCCGAGCGATGAACAAATTAAATGACCACCACCAAAACATGCGCCAATGTACCGAATTATTTACCATTCTTTTTTGTAATTTCAAATCTTATATCAAATAAAAAATTTTTGCTTTTCTTTTTTGCTAGCTTTAATAATTTCACCATAAAGCAATTATTAACTTTAAATCAATTTAAATTAGACAGTTTTTTTATTTGTTTCTATTTTTTTAAGTATAAAATATGTAGAATTATATAGAATTTTTTTACTTTATTTATTTAATTAAAATTTTGAAAAAAAGTTTTTAATAATAAAAATTTAAAGTTACTTTAAAATTTAATACAAAAGAAACAAGAAACATCTATATTATTAATAAGTTTTAAAGAAATAAGTTATTAAAAATTTACTTCACCTTTTAAAAAAAACTGTACTTTTTATATATTTTACGAAAGAAAGAAAATTATTTTGAAATATAAAAAAATAATAAATAACTGTGAAATAAATAATTCAGCACATAAATAATATAAACAGTAAAAATAAACACTGACAAAAAGATATTAATTTTTGTCACCCAGTACTCAAAAATACTTCAAAAAAAAAAGAATACATTTTGTCAGTGGTGTCACTATGTTGTTTTTTTCCTTCCCTGTTTCTTTTAAAAAAATTTTCATCCATTCATTATACAAGTGATTAGCTAGTGAGAACGAGAATAGGAGAAGTACTCCCCCCACCATGCGAATCTAAACAAAAATTGTGCGTTGGGTAGAGAGTCAGGGAGAGGGGAGACGCGAACCGCAAGAGGTGGGGAGCCGCTTCTCTTAGATTCGTATTGGCTAGTTACTCTCTTGTGCAAATCTAATTTACCGTTTTACTAGGGTCCTTTCAAGTATTACATAAGAATTTTTGGGACAGAGGGGGGGTTTAGAATCCTACCTAAGATTATTTTAAATGTAAAATAATAAAAATAGGGGGGTGGGAAATAATCTTACGTAAGATAAAGGGGGGAGGTTAAAAAAACCTTAAGAATATTGTTACCTAATACTTGAATGGCCCCCTACTTTACTGTTTTACTATTGAAAAAAACTTTGAAAGAAATATTCAAAATTTGTTTTTAAGTTAATAATTCAATTGATAAAAATTGATTGACTTTAAAGAAAGAAAAACTTGTTTCACGAAAAAACAAAAACAGGGAAGGATTTTAAAGAACCAAAAAAATGACTCAATGGACGATGAATCCCACGACGTTCGTTGAATGTCATGTCATCGCGCCTTCTCGTGAGGACAGCTTGTATTCCTCCTTCAATCATGTTCCTCTTCGGTAACGGATTTTCTTCTTCCACTATCCTTCCTTTCTTTCTTCCTTCCTGCCACAAATTGCTCCTCGAACACAAAAACACTGAAACAAAAAATTATAAAATTTAAAATTAAAATACATTAAACAAACTTAAAATTTAAATAAATTAAACTAATTCAAAATTTTAACACTATTTATACGTTCAGAGCAAATTTTCCTATTTCCGGAGTAAAATTTATTATACTATAAAGTAAATTTTACTATTCCTAGAGAAGTAATTACTGTGTCTAAAGTAAACATTACTAATTCCAGAGTAAAATTTTCTATTCAGTAAACTAATAGAGTAAAAGTTATTATAAAGTAAATTTTACTATTTCCAAAGTCAAACTTACTACACGTTCTAAAAAAAAGTTTCTACACTATAAAGTAAATTTCTGTATTCCTATAGTAAAAATTACTATGTGTTTAAACTTTAAAGTGAACTTAACTAGTCTTAATGTGAAATTTTCTATTCAGAAAATTAACAGAATTAATAGAGTGAAAGTTACTATAAAGTAAATTTTTGTATTCCTACAGTAAAAATTACTATACGTCTAAAGTGAACTTTACTATTCTCAGAATAAAATTTTCTAATTAGTAATTTTAAATGTTACTATACTGAAAAGTAAAGTTTACTATTTTCACAGTCAAAATTACTATACGTACAAAATAAATACTACTATACACTATGAAGTAAGTGTTGCTTTTCCCAGAGTAAAATTTATTATACCTCTAAAGTAAACTTTCCTACTCAGTACTTTTACAAAGTAAAAGTTACTATATACCATAAAGTAAATTTTGTTATTTCCACAGTAAAATTTACGATACTTTCAAAGTAAATCTTTACAAGTAAAATTTTCTCCGAAAATAATAAATCTTGTAAAAAATTCCAATCACCTCAATTTTTACTTTACACAAAAAATAGATTTCTCCACTTTTCCAAAAACCTAAATTCTACCAAACTTATTATTTTCGCAACAAACTAATAACAAGTTTAATAAAAAGTAAAATTTTATAAAATTCGAATTCATGGACAATATAAATTTTGCAAGTCACTCTTTATAAATATTTCCGTCTGAGTTAGAGGCCAAGTTTTTGGCATAGTTTTCCAACTCGGTATAGTATATATATATGAAACCGCAGTTGCAAAAAAAAAAGAAGAGATGGGTCGCAGAGAAAGGTTGAGAGAAGCGAAGCAAGAGTAAACCAGAGAGGGAAGGCAGGAGGCCAAAAGTACCTTGAGGCACGAGACAATGCACACTGAGTGCCTTGAGGCACTTCGGCGGCGACCAAGGCCCTTTTCTCATAAACGAGGCCCTCGGGCGTTAAAATGAAATATTAATGAAGTGGGGGGAACCCCATGAAAATGCCTCAGGATCTCAGCGTATCTAACTAAAAGAAGAAAAAAAAGGGAAAAGATAAAGGGATGAATCGTTAGAATACCAATAATTCCAAAAGTTATTTATAATATTAGCCAAATTTCCATCTGACAATAATATTTTATGTACTCAATTTTTAAAATAATTCAAATCTTAAAAATATATTCATATTATTTATTATTTAATTAATATAAAAATTATTTAGAAAAAAATGGTAAAGAAATTATTTCTTTTTTAATTAAAAAATATGTAATAATTCCGACAGTCTAATTCTGTCAGTAGTTTTTACTATATTTCAGAAATAAATTTTACTTAATTTTTACTAAAATTTACTCCGGACTCTAAAACTGAATTAATGAAAATTGAGCCTTCATTTACTAATTGTTAGTAAAATTTTACTATTTTATTTAGTATTTACAATTTTTTTTTACAAAAGTTTTAGTAAAAAAATGACTATATAATCACTATAATAATCACATATTGAATCTAGAAAATTTTACTTATCGACACAATAAAATTTACTCCAAAATTAGTAAAAAAGAAAACCCCAAGACAGAAATTATAAACACTCTAGTTCCTACCAAAAAAATAATAAAATTTAAATCTATTTTTCAATATTAATCTCCATTCTTTGCAACATCATTTTCTACAACAAGAAAAACATCATTTCCACCGTAATTTAGTTATTTTCTCTCTATAACAAAAAAAAATATATATAAAAAAACTAGTCAAGATTTATCGAAAGTTTCCCAGACCCTTCAGAAAAACAAAATGCTGCCTCCAGGTGTGGAGGATCAACTTCAATCAATCGATCACGATCGACACTCTATTTACCATAATACCTTTTCCGTTTCACAAAATGACCTCTATTATTCCCATTCTCAGTATAAATCTTTGTTCTATCTGACATATATATACCACACGTACACAATAAATAAGAGGAAAAAAATGAAACAAATTATTATTGTAACAGTGAATTTAAGGTGAAGTATACCAAGCGAGCATAGATGGCATTTCATTGCCTTAAAATAATATTCTCATGTTTGATTATATGAGTATATATATATATATATATATATATATATATATATATATCAATACACATATAAACGAACGAGAGAGTAAACGTGTTCGCAGTCATAGCTTGAGGCAAAATGCATATACACACCGGACTGATCAAAAACATAAAGTTCACTATTTGGATTGGATGATATGTTCCATTTTACATTTGGGAAATTCGAAAATGAACTCAATTTATGCAGCTATTTTCAGAATATCTACGTACATGTATATGTGCGCGAAAAAATAATCCCTAATTAGCTAGAAATATTATTTTAATGAGAGGATTACCCTTTTTTTGAATAACAATTACCAATTTTTAATATTTATAATTTTATATTCGTATAAATATTATAAAATGTTTATACGATATTATATTTATATAATATGTATAATATATAAATATGTAAATACAAATAAGTACCTATAATTAAAAATTATTTTATCTCCTCCAAATATTTGCAGTACTTCAAAAATATTTTTCGATAGTCTGAATCATTATTTGCTATGTCAGTAAACACATAAATTTTTCCTCTGGAAATTTTCAATCACTTTTTTTCCCTGATTATAAAAATATACAATATTATATTTGTATGCGAATTTAATCATATTTCGTTATCGCATGTTAATCGGAAATTTATACAATAATAATTAACTATGTAATTTTGACATTGAGATTATGTTAATCAGTGTGTATGTACAGAAGTGATTTTCACTTTTAGAATCATTATGTTATAGTGTGATTAAAATTGTTCTTTAATATATTTGTTTCCGCAATTTTTCTTTATACACGTGCGTAAAAAATGAAGGAATGTCGCAGCAGCATGTAGTCGATAAATGCCTCCAAGACATAATGATTGCATGCGAATATAATTATGAGGAAAAGAGTTATCAAGGTTGAAGTGACTTTTATGTATGTATACATTATTTTCTTTATGTATGGTGTCAAAAGAGGAATTTCATAATTCAATCTATAGAAAAATAGTTTTTTTTCCAATCCAATCACTGGATCGATCACTAAATCTATCACAGTTCTTCTAACGATATCAAATTGAGACAAAAAACGAATTAAAAGTGTTGTGAATTTGATATCCTTAGAAAAACTGGCAATGAATCAGTCAATGAATCAATCAATCAATCAGAAAATCAAACAATATGTCAATCAATAAATCGATCAATGAATCAATCTATGAATAAATAAATCAGCCACTGAATCAACCACTGAATCAATCGATGAGTCAATGAATGAATCAATAAATTAATAAATCACACAATTACTCAATCAATTAATCAAACAGCCAATCATTCAATTAATTAATTTCTTAAAGTTCTCCAAGTCAGAATAGTTCCTTAATTAATTCATCGATCAAGATATCAATCAATCCACTAATAAATCCGTTGATCTACAAGTTAAAGTATCAATCAATCCACCTACTTTTTTACTTAATCAATACACTAATCAATCCATCAGCTATTTTTATCAATCATTCAAAAAAATAATCAATGACAGATTTATCAAAAATTCTATTCAGTAAATTCACATTTCTACGCTTGGTTAAAAATAGCAATCAACTAGCAATCAATCCACATATTAATCCATTGTTTTTTTCCAATCAATCAATAAATTAATCAATGAGAAATTTATCAAAAATTCTATACAGTTAATCCACATAACGACAATTGAATAAAAAACCAATCAACCATTACATCTTTCAAATTATTTATCAATCCAATTACTACTGCAATCACCTATCCAATCACTAATCAATTATCAAATAACAACAAATACAAATAACAACTACAATAGCTTAGAGTGATTGAATTTTCTATAGTTGTAATCTAGAAATCTAGAGCATGATCTAGATAAAAATATTAAACCAATCAATGCAACAGATAATCTATTCAATCGCTTCACCTATAAATCAATTTTTCAAACAATCTTTTCTCCAAACAATCAATTTATCAACAAATAAATTCATTTACTAACAAATTTACTAACTTAACTAAATCAATCATTAAAATATTATTGCATAAATTATTGTCTAATCTTCACCAATCCAGATTTTAATTCTTCAAAACTAAAACTAAGTTAAATATATTTAACTAATTCAGATTTGGTGAGTTTTCAAAAACAAAATGTAAATCACTAATTCAAATTAGCATACATTTTTATTAATTCAAATTTAGAGAGCAGGGGGTTTTTGGGGTTCCAGAATCGATCGAAACGCGGCAAATTTTTAATTTTCCGCCATATTGAATTTTTAAATTGACATCAATTTTTAATTTAAAACTGTCAAGAGGTTAACTATGCATATATCAATGCATTTATTTGTTTGTTTCCATCAATATTTTCCCCGAATGTTGCATATTTACTAAAAGAAGGTAATTTCCGTTTGATATATGCCATTTATAAAATCTAGTTTCATTCTCCCTAGCGAAATAACGCCTTTGAAAAGTGAAAAGTGGAAAAAGTTGAGTAATCGATCCCCCGGGGATCAATCGAATTCTTTACCAAAAAAAAGAGTAAATAAATAAAGAAAAAAAAGAAATAAAAAATGCAAGATTCCTTTTCGAAGTCTCGAGTCTCAAGGAGTGTTTCGCTTATGTAAGTGAGGATAAGATTCA